CTTTTTGAAACCCTGTGAAGGTGGAGCACGTCAATGTCACGTCGGAATGTGATGTGGCGTTGCGTGCCTCCATGCACCTACAGGTACTCCCCTGTCCAATCACAGCCAATGAAACACTGACCAACACACACATTCACTGATGCACACACTCACAGACAGAAACACACTCACCGACAAACAGACACAGACAGACAGACACGCACCGACAGACACACTGACACGCACAGACAGACACACAGACACGCACCGACAGACACACAGAGATAAACAGACACTCACTGACAGACACACACACTGACCAGCACTCACAGACAGACACAGACACTCACTGACCAATACACATTCACTGACACACACACACACTCACATACACACACGTTGACATACACACTCACTGACAGACACATAGGCACTCACTGACAGACACAGACACACTCACAGACACAGAAACACACACACATACATTATTGCACACACACATAATTTTCTTTATTGCTCCCTACCTTTGGGAGCCAATGTGATCTTCTATCTGCTCCCTCGCGTGGTTTAGTGGTGCCGGAATATTACGTCATATTCTAGCGACTGGCTTCACTACAGACAGCTGGAGGGAGCAGTGAGGAGCAGGAACACTGAGCTCCCTCGCTGGCCATCCTCGCCGGTTGGGTAAGTTTTAGCAGAGTGGGCACCTGCAATGTGGGAAAAGCAGGTGCCTACTCTGCTATAACACTAAGCATGTACTCGCGGCTCGCCGGGCCGCAAAGATGGTCCTTGTGGGCTGCATGTTTGACATGCTTGATGTAATGTATACATTATAGGGTTAAGACAGCCTCTAGAAGTTCTTCCTGTATTTTCATGGAGTTTAACTTCACACATTAATGATTTGCATGAGGATGTTCAGCGTCTTCAAAATGCTTTCCTATGAGAAAATTCTAATATGCGCGTGACGCTTGCCGCACCATACACATTAGGTCCTCCTTCAGGAGGAGACAGAGCCAGTGCTGAGGGACTTTGGTGCTGAAAGTTGTGGTGAATAAAAAAGGGGTTTCAAAAGGGGTGCAGGTAGAGGCACACTATATGTTAGTACATGTTAAAATGCTGACTGACTCACTTAAAAAATGTGGAATTAGAAATGTTGCTGATTATAATGACACTCTTTACAACGCTAGGTACACTGCTGTAGGTAATATATACACTATCACACATATATATAGCAACAATTGCCCAGAGCACCTGTCTTGCAAACATCTGCATTGGGAAGTCTGTGATTGGACAGTCACAGAAATTCTGGGTGGGGTTAGAAGGGGAGAGTTTGCAAAGGCAGCAGGCAAGAGATCTGAAGTTTCGCGCATTTTTTTGTAACTAAATAGTTAGATGTAACTAAATATATAAATATATACACACAACATATGAAGGTGTATGGCACTTTCAGTCTTACCAATGAAATCATTCATTTGAGGTAAGTATACTAAACTGACTTTTATTTTGTATTTGGGCAGTGGAATGTCCCTTTAAGCAAATTATTATTATTATTATTGCCATTTATATAGCGCCAACAGATTCCGTAGCGCTTTACAATATTATGAGAGGGGGGATTTAATTATAAATAGGACAATTACAAGAAAACTTACAGGGACGATAGGTTGAAGAGGACCCTGCTCAAACGAGCTTACAGTCTATAGGAGGTGGGGTATAAGACACGTTAGGACAGGAAATATCAATCTAATAGGGTGGGAGTGAAGCAGAGCTGGAGGAGAGGGTAGAGTGCTTCCCTATAGGAGAGATCAAGAGACAGGTATGTAAGGTAGAGGTTACTCTGAGAGGCCATAAACTTTCCTGAAGAGATGGGTTTTAAGGCTCTTCTTAAATGATTGAAGACTAGGGGAGAGTCTGATGGCGGTAGGCAGGCTATTCCATAGGAAAGGAGCCACCCGCGAGAGGTCCTGCAAGGGCAAGTTGGCTGTACGGGTGCGAGCAGTGGTCAGGAGGTGCTCACAGGCAGAGCGGAGGGAATGAGGAGGGGCATACCTATGGATCATTAAGGAGATATAAGAGGGGCTAGAATTGTTCAGTGCTTTAAATGTATGGGTTAGCACTTTGAATTGACTCCTATAGGATACAGGGAGCCAATGTAAGGACTGGCAGAGGGGTGATGTGTGAGAGGACCGACTAGAGAGGAAAATCAGTCTAGCTGCAGCATTCATTACAGACTGTAGCGGGGCAATACGGCTTTTGGGGAGACCAATCAGGAGAGGGTTACAGTAATCCATGCGGGAAATTACTAGAGCATGGACAAGCTCTTTGGTCGCATCTTGCGTAAGAAAGGGGCGGATGCAGGCTATGTTTTTGAGTTGGAACCTACAGGATTTGGCAACAAACTGGATGTGAGGCTCAAAGGTGAGGCCAGAGTCAAGTATGACGCCAAGACAGCGTGCTTGCAAAGATGGACTTATGTGGATATCACTGACTTGAAGGGAGAGCGAGAGAGGAGGATCAGTATTAGGAGGAGGAAAGACAAGCAGTTCAGTTTTAGAGAGATTGAGTTTCAGAAAGCGTGAGGACATCCAGTCAGAGATGGAAGAAAGGCAACAGTGACACGTTGCAGGACGGCAGGGGAGAGGTCTGGGGAGGAGAGGTATATCTGAGTGTCATCAGCGTACAGGTGTTAGTTGAATCCAAAAGAGGCAATAAGCTTGCCAAGAGAGGCAGTATAAAGAGAAAATAGAAGGGGACCAAGGACAGAGCCTTGGGGAACTCCAACTGAGACAGGACGAGGGGAGGAGGAAAACCAAGAGAGGACAGAGTCACAGAGACCGAACGATTGAAGAGTTTGAAGGAGGAGAGCATGATCAACGGTGTCAAAGGCAGCAGAGAGGTCAAGGAGAATTAATATGGAGTAGTGACCTTTGGATTTAGCTGCGATTAGGTCATTAGTGACTTTGATGAGAGCAGTCTCAGTAGAGTGGAAAGGGCGGAAGCCAGACTGAAGAGGGTCAAGGAGAGAGTTGGAATTGAGGAAGCGAGACACACAGGTAAACACAAGTCTTTCCAAAAGCTTTGATGAGAAAGGGAGCAGGGATATTGGACGATAGTTAGAGGGGAAGGATGGGTCAAGAGATGTTTTTTTCAGGATAGGTACTACAGTGGCATGTTTAAGGTCAGCAGGAACAGTGCCAGAAGAGAGAGAGCAGTTAAAGATGTGTGTTAGGGTAGGCACAAGACAAGGGGAGAGAGATCTGATGAGGTGGGATGGGACAGGATCGAGCGGGCAAGTGGTGGGGCGAGAGGAATGGAGAAGCGCAGCCACCTCTTGTTCAGTAGCCGGGGAGAAGGTCTGAAGGGTAGGGAAGGCATGATTTATGTGTGGTTGAGAAAGAGAACGGAAAGGAGGAGAGAATTGTTTCCTTAGCTGTTCAATCTTGTTGGTAAAGTGGCATGCAAAGCTATCAGCTGTAAGGTTAGTTTGAGGGGTGGCCTCAGCAGGGTGCAGAAGTGAGTTAAAGGTGTCAAAGAGACGTCTGGGATTGCGGGAGCATGAACTAATGAGAGAGGAAAAGTATGACTGTTTGGCGAGGGCAAGGGCTGCGCTGTAGGAACGCAACATGAATCTATAATGGAGAAAGTCTGCCTTGGTGCGTGATAAACCCTTAGGCTTATTACTATAGGCAAAACAGCTGGAAAACTTCTACAACTCAACTATTTCCCTAACTCAGCTAGACTTACAGCTTGGTTATGTTAACACTAAAGTTTAGTGAATTAAGTCCATATAACAAAGTTTGGGCTTAATGAATAACCCCAACATATTTTTTTTTCAGTTTAGTTTTAAAAAAAGTGTGTAAAATATACTTTCCTATGAGCCTAGCAGACACAAACTGTCCTTGAACGGGCGGAAATAAAGACCTGGCTAATATTGAATTAAGCTTTTTAAAAACCCATGGATGAAAACCATCTGGTTCTTGAGCTTTTTTCACTTCAACTAATCAGTTTTTTAGTTCATACTCTGTCAGCCAAGGACATGTTAGTTTAAGTTTTTCATTCAATTTATTTGCAAGGTTCTTCTTCCTTTTTGTCACCCACAACCAGTTGATATACTTCCAGATTTTTACTGTTCCTCCATTTGTACCAACTGTATAATTTGATATTTTAATATTTCATTCTGGCATTTTCTCTTTCCTTTTTTATTCCACAGAAAGAATGAACAAAAAACAATATGATGGAAGTCACCATCACTGGGGGCTGAGGATGGACACTTTATGGAGGTCCCCAGAGTGCTCTTACGTTTTAGTCACCCTGTGCCCATATAGATACAGTGTGTGTATATTATATTTGTTCGTTAGTTTGTTGTTTTCCCAGATAGGTGTTATCCCATTGTTCCAAAGACCCCTTTGGCCTGCTGAACTAAGTTATTTTTACTATGTCATTGATGACTTATTGTACAAAGGTAATTAGTTTATATATTTGTATATGCAATGCGTCTTGATGTCAGGCAGGCAATTCGATTATGGAGTCTTAATCTAATTCTAGCGCTGGGGAGTGACTTGTATTGTTTTATTTGATGACCCACTGTTGTGATTACTCCTATATAGATGTGTGCACTGTGGTTCAATAAAGTTAGTTCTACTTCACCCTTCACTAAGTCTCAGCTAGTGTTTGGGTGAGACTGCTATACATATTTAAGCTATAATCACGGAATCCTAATCCAGGGTGGAAAAGCTCCCGAAGGACCCCAGTCAAGCTGTGGCGACTGGGGAAGAGTCGTTCCAGGGATTCCCCTGTGGCTGCTAGGAAGCAAGCTGGCGGAAGTACCCAGCCAGGGTACAAGGAGCTCCGTCACAAACTATATTTAAAGAGGCAGATAATCGCTGTATAAATATAGATGCTTTGCACAAATCATAGTAATGGTAGGTCACCTATCACTGGGCCACTGCACAAATTACCTTATAACACTTGCCAGAACCGCGGCCATTACATTGCTTCTTATAACTCCACTCACAAAACTGTAAATGGAGCTGCCGGTAAGCTGCTAGAAATCTCCACACTGCTTTCAGTTTAGATAGCAATTCATTTCAACTAGCTCTCTGTATATTTAATGGAAGCATCTTGACTGGATGAGCCACTTCCTGGATCAGGTTTACTCATTACAGAGAATGCAAAGCCATGGGCTTACTAGGAAATGCAAGAACTTCAAACAAGAGTATCTATTGTTTATGGTTATTTATTTATACAATATTTTAGCAAGAAGGATACCTTGAGATTTCTCTCATTTTCAAGTATGTCCTGGGCTTCAAGCCTGTCCTGGGATTATTAGTTCGAAGAAGGTAATTATCTGAATAATGGAATTGCAGAAACCTAAGACAAAGGGCACTTCTTTTTTTAAAAGAAAATCTGAACCTGTCCCTTTGCGGGCGTGGCCATCTTCTTCTGGATGGTCCTCTTTAGATCCTGGTGTATCAGCACCAGGAGCCGACGTCAGTGTTGTACTCTCGCATATGCTCAAGAGTACAGCATTGAGGCCTATGAAGCATCCCATTAGACGGTGAGATCCTCCGTAGACAGTGCCAGTTCCCTGCAGCCGTCACTGGTGATGGTATTGACCCTTCTAGATGGCGGTAGCTCTGCCCAGTGTTAAGAGGTATCAGGCGAGGGGAAATATACAGAGACAAAGAACTTCCTACTCTGTCTCAGTGTATCTCTTGACTGGGTTGGAATTTCAGTGAAATTCTAATACAGTCAAAATTTGTATTTCTATCTTTATAAAATTCTCACTTTTCATGGGTGACCGTGCCACTTTAAAAATATTTATTAGGCAAACAATTACAGCATTCCACAACATCAGTATATGTAAATGAACATATTCAGGAGCCATATACATTAAATAAAAGGTACATATTCTAAAAAGTTGAAAAGAAAGCTACACTAACTGAATCTAACTCGTTCCAAACTATGGTCTCAATTTAATAGTTTTGGATAAGCTATACAAATGATTTAATACTTTAGCTAAACTTTAAAAAAAAAAAATTAATAAAATTTTAAAATATTATTTATTATTTATTTATAAAATATTTTAACAGGAAATATCAAAAAATGCATCATACAATCAATAATTATTTACACAAGAAAAACATATATATCATATCATATATAAAAAAATTATCGAAATATTAAATTAATTTATTTTACAAGCTGATCCAAAAATATTAAATCTAAACCAATATCACAAAATCTGTGTATTAAAAGCATTAACACACAACAATGTAGCCATTCACAAAATGTGTAGACATTAACTTAATTTTCTCACTCTACATTTAATCATTAGCTAAATTCATGCTGCCTAGATACCATGTGAAAGCATTTAAAATTATTTAATGACATCAAGGCACCATGTGTGAGTATAAAGCCAGGTATGTCGGAGAGTTACGAAAGGGTGAAACGGTGCCATTGGATAAAAGGACTATTTCTCTGTAGCAAGTTTCCTCTCTAGACAAACTTGCTAATATGTTAGTGAGAAAGGCGCATACAAAAAGGCCAGTGTTTCACTGCTGCCTATACAGCATGTTATGTGTGTAGCTGTTGTTCTAGACAGTCATAAACTTCTGCTGCCCTCGGTCTTGTTTTGAGTTAAGTTCACCATTTTTCCCCTGAGACATTTTTGAGCAAAGAAAGCATTTTAAGAAACCTAGACCATGTAAAGGAGGCAAAGTGCAACTGCATACAGTTACATAAACAATGATTTCTTTCCAAGACGGTTTTTATATTGTCCCTGGCTTTTTTCAGTACACAGATCTCTTACTTATTATCCCCTCCATTGACCAGCTAATATATGTGCTAGCTTCCCAAAGGAGTCCGAGGCGGGACACACTAGTTGGGTTTGGCAGGCAAACAAAGTTTTTTTAGAAACCCAGCGGATGAACTTCTGAAAGACCTATAACTGTGCTTTGGAAACAGTATCGTGACTCTAAATTTCAACACGTTTTAAACAGCGGTGGGATAAGGAAAAGCAGCGGCTGTAACATGAATATCAAGGCCTGCTTAATTGTAAAACCTTACTTAAAATAATAACAAACACGTGTGGTATGAAAGGAGACTAGAAATTAAACAAAACTGTTATTTAAAGTGCTTCTGTCATCAAAAATGGTATTTGCAGCATTGGTTAACACTTTAGAAAAGGCCTTTTTTATTTTATTTTTTAAATACATTTTACAGGGATATAAATTTTGTTTTACAAATTTAAGAATTGGAATTTACTTGGACTTACAGGCATTAACATTTTGGCACTTGGGTACTCTCTGTCTCCTGCCAATTGGGGAAAATGGCTAAAAAGAAAACTGCAATTCTTTATTAAATTATCTTTACCCTGTTGTGACAGGTGACATGTCAAGACTGTCAAAGTACAAAGTGATTTCCCCAAAGCTTGTCATCAGGAAGTTTGAAGGATATGTTGAGTAATGCAATTAGTCCACACTGAAAATGTTTAATTCTGACTAGAGTTTGAATTGTTGGAACTTCAAATTGAACTAAAAGATCATTTAAAATTTAGGGCCTGGAAGCATAGACTTAGAGGACTTTTCCAGTTTGGTTATTCTGACTTTAATTCACTTTAAATTCTTACTTTAGTTTATAACCCTGTTAGTTCAAAATAGATGTGACCAAGAAACAGGGGTGTGTAAATGCACTCAGTCCCATACAATATATCTCTTGGTGCAGCCAGGCCGGTTCCAGTACCAGGAACCAAATATTTGGAGATGCAAGCTTGACAAAGACCGTTCAGGTCGAAACGTTGTGAGTGGCGGTGGGTTCAATAACAGTTGCCTTTTTTGTATTCTGGAGTGCCTGGACCTTCTATTTTTGCAGTTCAAAATAAATGAACAGGAAACAGCAAATATGGACACATTTTTAACAACTGCGCAATAGGTGCCTTAATATTCAAAATTCTATTTGACGTCCTGACAATTCACACTCAAATACGATAACCCTGTATTAAAATAATATACAGAGTAAAACAAAATATAATGTGCACCTAGCTGTACACCCACACCTCGGTTAACTCCAAAACTGTGTAATAAATATAAAGCAAGCAGAAAAATGGAGTGGTGTACTGAAATAGACATATGAGGCCAAATCTCAGAATTTCATGGTAAGTATACATACACTACCCTTGGAGGATCTTCAAACCGACAGACATATATAGATCTTCAAACTTTAATCTCTAAAAATATACAATATCGCACATAGCATAGAATCACAAAAAATAGGAAATAAAAAGAAGATAATGTTGCACTCACAAACATCAACCCACAAGATGTGGCCAAAATGTCAAGTAAATAGGTCAAATAGACATCCAGTGGTTCCTGTCCACTGTGTCCAGTAAAATTTCCAGTGATTCCAATACCTTTGTGTAATGGTTCTGTATCCTTCAATGCTAAGGTGAATAGGATCTTGTATGAACAGTTCAGACAGCAACACCAAAGAGCTTTGTAGATAGAGGTAGTTGTGTCAGCTGGTAAAAATCTGCCATCAGAAGACACCATGAATTTGCAACTTATTTGAAAATAACTATTTCGAGAAAAATCTTAAAGTCAGTAACTGAAACCTTCAGGGTTATTTACTAAGGTAAGAATTCAAGGTAAATTCAAAGTAAATTTCAAATTTAAGATCAAAAGTAGCTGACTTGAAAGCATAGCTGACTTAGAGATATATTCAAATTTGGTTATTTTGACCATAGAATTGAGATTTACTTTGAATCACCTTAAATTCTCACATTAGTGCATAACCCTGCTTGTTTGTTTCTAATTTAGCCTATTCAGTTCCATGTATTAGTGTGACATTTATTCGATACACAGGATACAAGTCGAGTACATTATCTTCTGACAATAAAACGATTCTGTATAGATTTAAAAAATAAATTAATACATTTGGGAGAGTGAAACTGGTCTTCACAGTCCCTATCAATTAGTAACAGTGACTGATAGGAATTTTCTCTTTCTCCACCAGGTGAACACAGTTCCTGGATTGGAGCAAAAGGTAAGTGGGGTTTATGGACTGCCACTCTGTAAGAGTATTACTGAACCATTATCCTGGAACAATAACATATACCAGAATAGACAGTGTCAGACTCCTCCACCAGGAAGAGACCCACCAATCAGGAGTCTCCCATTCTGGTTTATGAGTTCCGATCGGTGTTTATGGGATAAGCAGCCATACCACAGTGCCTATTCTACCTAGTTACAACTTTCCAGGTAAAAGCTAATCGGAAGTATCGGTAGGCCTGCTTTTAGATTCTTGTTTTCTTTGGGGGGTATTTTTACTAAGCTGTGAAAAAAAATGTGGAATGGAATTGCACACCTGTGCAATAATCATGCTGTCTAATCAGCATCTTGATATGCCACACCTGTGAGGTGGATGGATTATCTCAGCAAAGGGGAGAAGTATTCATTAACACAGATTTAGACAGATTTGTGAACAATATTTGAGATAAATAGGCCTTTTGTGTACATAGAAAAAGTCTTAAGTCTTTAACCCCTTAAGACTGGAGGGCGTACAATTACGCCCTATTTTAAGCGGCTCTAAATGCAGCCGGGCGTAATTGTACGCCCTCCGGTCTTTCTTTACTTACTCGGTCGCCGGCGGTCCCACGCCGGCGATCGCGGTGGGGGGGACTCCCAGGGAGCCACCCCGCAGTAGATCCTCCTCCTCCGGTCCCCCCCGGCCATGTGAGAGTGAGGTCCTTGCGAGGACCCCACAATCACATGGCCGGTATAGCTGGCTTCTGTATTGCCAGCAGGGGGGCTGCCTGTAATGACAGGTGGTCCCCTTGCTGGCTGGAAATAAAATTTAAATAAATTAAGTGTAAAAAAAATATATACATACTTAGATCATATATACATTATATATGATCTAAGTATATATATATATATATATATACATATACATACACACACATACACTGTCTAGGTGTATTTTACTATTAATATATATATATAATTATATATATATTAATATCAAATTACACGTATACTGATACTGATTAAATATATATAATTATTGTTATATATATTTATATATAATATAAAAAAATTAAATATGTAAATACGTTAAAAAATAATAAAATAAATAATTACAAAATATATAGATGTGTGTTATTTCGTTGTAACTGTATTGTGATATTAAAATATATATATTTATATCAAAATACACGTAGAACGAAATATATATATCTACATACATAAATATATACGTATATATCACTATATATATACCAATATATAAATAAAAATATTTTTTAAAAATTATATATATATATATATATATATACACATATAGATTCACATACATATATATATATATATATATATATATATATATATATATACATATATTAATTCTACATATATATTTATGTAATATTCTTACATAATTAGGTATCTTAATTAATTACAATTAGCGGGACCTGCCTGACAACCAATGCCGAAAGTAAAGGGAATTTAATTTGCTAGCACTATATTTAAGCCTATAACTTTCCAAGACACCATAAAACCTCTACATGTGGGGTACTGTTCTACTCGGGAGACTTCGCTGAACACAAATATTAGTGTTTCAAAACAGTAAAATGTATTACAACGATGATATCACCAGTAAAAGTTACATTTTTTGCATTTTTCATGCACAAACAGCACTTACACGGACGATATTATTGCTGTGATACTTTTTGCTGTTTTGAAACACAAATATTTGTGTTCACCGAAGTCTCCCGAGTACAACAGTACCCCTCATGTACAGGTTTTATGGTGTTTTCAAAAGTTACAGTGTTAAATATAAGGCTTGCGTTTCATTTTTTTCACATTAAAATTCACCAGATTGGTTAGGGTGCATTTGAGACCCTATGGTAGCCCAAGAATGAAAATTACCCCTATGATGTCATACCATTTGCAATAGTAGACAACCAAAAGTATTGCAAACGGGGTATGTCCAGTCTTTTTTAGTAGCCACTTAGTCACAAACACTGGCCAAAATTGGCATTTTTTGCATTTTTCACACAAACAAATACTAACGCTAGCTTTGGCCAGTGTTTGTGACCAAATGGCTACTAAAAAAGATTGGACATACCCCATTTGCAATACCTTGGGTTGTCTACTATTGCAAATGGTGTGCCATTATGGGTGTAAATTTCATTCCTGGGCTACTATACAGTCCCAAAGGCAGCGTAACCAATCTGGCGAATTTCAATTTCAAATGTAACGTGCTATATTTGACCCTGTAACTTCCCAAAACGCCATAAAACCTGTACATAGGGGGTACTGTTTTACATGTGAGACTTTGCTGAATACAAATATGTGTACTTTATTGCAGTAAAAGCAAACAGTATTATGACATTGACAGTTAAAATGTCATGTAGAACTAAAAAAATAATTAAAAAAAATAATCGTATTTTCTCCCATTTTTTTCATATTAAATTATGTTTCATAGCGAAATATTTGATATTAAATAAAAGCCCTGGTTCCCCTGAATAAAATGATATATAATAAGGGTGGGTGCATTTAATATGAAAGAGTTGAATTATGGTTGGACAGACATGTAGCGCAAATGCCAGGTTTTGTTTACATTTTTTTTTCGTTCACAACGTGTACCTTTGGCTCCGTCCTTAAGATGTTAAATTCAACTCATGAAAAATGGGGTCAAAAACAAGTGTTGCGTTTATAATTTAGTTCAGTGCAGTATATTATTGGGAATTGTTATCGACAACAAACTATGCAACAATGTGCAATGTCAATCAGCAGTGGCCAAGGCCAGTAAGGTATTGTCATGCATGAAAAAGGGCATTCATTCTCGGGACAAGAATATAATTTTGCCTCTTTATAAATCACTGGTAAGACCCCATATTGACTATGCTGTGCAATTTTGGGCACCTGTTCTAAAGAAGGATATTATGGCACTAGAAAAAGTGCAGAGGCGGGCTACAAAATTAATAAAAGGAATGGAACATATCGGCTATGAAGAAAGGTTAACAAATTTAAACCTATTTAGTTTAGAAAAACGTCGCCTGAGAGGGGATATGATAACATTATACAAATATATTCGGGGCCAATACAAACCATTGTGTGGAAATCTATTCACAAACCGGACTTTACATAGGACACGAGGCCATGCGTTTAGACTGGAAGAAAGAAGATTTCGTCTAAGGCAAAGGAAAGGTTTTTTTACTGTAAGAACAATCAGGATGTGGAATTCTCTGCCTGAAGAAGTGGTTTTATCAGAGTCCATACAGATGTTCAAATGGCTACTAGATGCATACTTGCAAGAACAGAATATTCAAGGATATAATCTTTCAATGTAGGGTAATAACTGCTTGATCCAAGGATAAATCTGACTGCCATTCTGGGGTCAAGAAGGAATTTTTTTCCTAGCTTGTTGCAAAATTGTGCTTCAAACTGGGGTTTTTTTTGCCTTCTTTTGGATCAACAGCCTAATTAAAACTATGGGATGAAATGATTCGTATTTAATGAGAAAGGATGTATGTAGGATAAGGAGTTTGTCTCCGATAGCAGGTCTGCTTATATCTTAAAAGGAACATTTATAATTTTGTTCAGTGTAAATACATATTTTATTCCATTTTACAGTTTAAGATCGACATCATGGTTCCATAATACAATATTTCACAAAATGAATTGTTACTGGATCATATTGTAAATCCTGGTTAACATATTGAAAGCATGACACATTTTTGTTTAATGTAACATCCTTTATGAAGTTTGAGGATGTTATTCCCAGTTTGTGATTTTTTATTCTTTGCTCTTCGGTTCTTCACAAATATATCAGTCTAACATTATCAGTGCGGTCATAAAAGTATTCACTAACGGCAAGCAGGCGCCTTAAAAGCGAAGGATTATGAAATAATGTTGGCAGCATGAACATAAGTTAAAAAAAATACAGTATGCAATTACAAATAAATTAATCTTCGGCCAAAGAATATATCTTCTGATCTTTTTGATTTGATCTTGAGTTTCTGTACATATAGAGCAAATGTAGGAACCAATGCTGTGGATTACATCTCTGCTGATGCTTTGCAAGCATTATGGCTGTAATATGATTATGAGAGATGTAGTTCATAAACGTTTGGAGTGCGGAAGTTTGCCTACCAAACTATAAAGTTATTTTCAATGCAAACCATAATTTGTAATATAATTCGAGATTGAAAATTTCCAATGCAATATGTTACGTGTGTGTTCAATAAACCATGTTGTTTTTTTCAAATCAAATAAAAAGGTGATTTGCGCACACAGAAGTGAACGTAGGTTTTACCTTACACTTAAATCTTTTCAGGTAACCATACAGCAGGTTATTCTTAAAAACCTATATACAAATAGATTAAAACACACATAGTGTAAACTGTATATAAACCATAATAACGTGAATGAAATATTTCTCCAAACTCACAATTTTCAGAGCCTATTAGAAGTTGGCTCTAGACTTATGTTGCTTAACATCTCATCCTTGAGATACACAGCGGATATGTAGCAGGTACACCCACAGGAACTCGGTACTGGTAAATTGAAGCAAACTCCAAAGTCCAGGGTAAATGCGTATAGAAAGTTTTATTAAACAAATAGTTACAAATAAAAGCACGAATATACAAAGTAAAAAAAATTAAGCACAACGCGTTTCAACCTTTAAATAGGTGTCTCGCTGTAAATAGTGACATTACACTTGGGTAATTTTAGCTGCACCAGTTTCTAGTGATATTAGCGCCGTGTCCTTTTTCTGTTCTATCTTTTATAATGGTTTTTTTTTGTATTTTTCAAGGTGTTTTCTAGCTGTTACGGCCTTTTTGCTTAAAGTCAGCATCTATTGAATGGATCGTCACAAATAGTACATCAAATATAGCACAGTACGACCATACAATAGAAGCATAATCATAATAATCATAGGGTAAACAGGGTTGTGTTAGTTCACAAATCATATAAAACCAAATACGTTAAATACACAGTTTCCAAATGTAACACACTGAATATGCTGTGCAATTTTGGGCACCTGTTCTAAAGAAGGATATTATGGCACTAGAAAAAGTGCAGAGGCGGGCTACAAAATTAATAAAAGGAATGGAACATATCGGCTATGAAGAAGGTTAACAAATTTAAACCTATTTAGTTTAGAAAAACGTCGCCTGAGAGAGGATATGATAACATTATACAAATATATTCGGGGCCAATACAAACCATTGTGTGGAAATCTATTCACAAACTGGACTTTACATAGGACACGAGGCCATGCGTTTAGACTGGAAGAAAGAAGATTTCGTCAAAGGCAAAGGAAAGGTTTTTTTACTGTAAGAACAATCAGGATGTGGAATTCTCTGCCTGAAGAAGTGGTTTTATCAGAGTCCATACAGATGTTCAAACGGCTACTAGATGCATACTTGCAAGAACAGAATATTCAAGGATATATAATCTTTCAATGTAGGGTAATAACTGCTTGATCCAAGGATAAATCTGACTGCCATTCTGGGGTCAAGAAGGATTTTTTTTCCTATCTTGTTGCAAAATTGTGCTTTTTTTTGCCTTCTTTTGGATCAACAGCAAAAAACAAATGTGAGGTAGGCTGAACTTGATGGACGCAAGTCTCTTTTCAGCTATGTAACTATGTAACCATGTAACTCCTTCACTCCCTGCCCCCTTGCATCCCCTTCACTCCCTGCCCCCCTGTAACCTCTTCACTCCCTGCCCCCCTGTAACCCCTTTACTCCTTGCCCCCTGTAACTCCTTCAACTCCCTGCCCCCCTGTAACACCTTCACTCCCTGCCCCCCTGTAACTCCTTCAATTCCCTGCCCCCCTGTAACTCCTTCACTCCCTGCCCCCCTGTAACTCCTTCACTTCCTGCTCCCCTGTAACCCCTGCCCCCGTAACCTCTTCTGCCCCTCTCCTTCTCCCCTGCCCCTTGTAACTCCTTCACCCCTGCCCCACTGTAACCCCTTCATTCCATGCCCCCCTGTAACTCCTTCACTCCCTGCCCCCCCTCAATGTAACCCCTTTACTGGTTGCCATGGTGTGCCAAGTGTAAGCCTCTAAAACCGATTGCCATGGTGTGCCAATTTTATGCCTCTAATGCTTGTTGCCATGGTGTGCCAATTGTAAGTCTCTAAAACTGATTGCCATGGTGTGCCAATTTTATGCACCTAAAGTTGCCATGATGTGCCAAGTTTTTACATCTAAAACGGATTGCCATATTGTACCAATTTTATGCATCTAAAGCTGATTGCCATGGTATGCCAATTGTATGCCTGTAAAGCTGATTGCCACGGTGTGCTAATTGTATGCCTGTAAAGCTGATTGCCATGGTGCGCCAATTGTATGCATCTAAAGCGGATTGCCATGGTGTGCCAATTGTATGCATCTAAAGCGGATTTCCATGGTGTGCCAATTTTATGCCTCTAAAACTGATTGCTACGGTGTGCCACTTGTATACATCTAAAGCAGATTGCTATAGTGTGCCAATTGTATGTCTCTAAAGCTGTTTGCCGTGGTGTGCCAATTTTCATGCCTCTAAAAGTAATGGTCATGGTGTGCCAATTATGTGCATCTAAAGCGGATTGCTATGGTGTGCCAATTGTATGCCTCTAACGCTGATTGCCATGGTGTTTTAAAATATGCATTTAAAGCAAATGGGTCTCGGAAAATTACAGTTTTGAAAAGTGGGCTCGGCCAAAAAAGTTTGGGAAGCCCTGACTTAAAGGATCTGCTGCCAATGTCTTGGTACCAAATGCCACAGGACACATTTAGAGGTCTTGTGGACTCCATGCCTTCATGCAATAGAGCTGTTTATGCAGCACAAGGGAGACCTACACAAAATTAGACAGGTGGTTTTAATGTTGTGGTTGTGTGTATGTACTAAATAAATGTAGGAATAGTTCCTCATGCTGTTTTGTTAATGGGGAGCTGAGCTGTCGGACAATCAGTGGCACTGTCCGACAGCTCAGCTCCCCATTAACAAAACAGCATGAGGAACTATTCCTACAAAAGGGACATTGGTCCGAGGCTGTCCAAGTTTTCCTGTTTCAAGAATCGACAGGGAAGGCCGAGGCAGAGCTAAAAGGTGCTGAAGTCAAGACTTTGGGTTAAACTGTTAAACTGATAGCCGTTTAACCCCTAATGGTATGTCAGGGCAAAGAATCTCCTGGCCCCATAGGAACTTCATTTTGATGAAGTTGTTATAGTGCCGGAGACTCCCTTTCAATAGTTTCTATTTCAAATTTGCTCAATAGCAACATTAAAGACTTGCAAAAAAATAAAATACTTTGTTGTCATTTAGCAACACAAAAATATTCATTTATAGCCACTTGATAATATTTGGTTTGTTGTTAAAATACATAAATGCATATAACAGGTATAGCAGGAATCTGAATCACTTCTTCCAATATCCAAAAATCAAAAAGTAGAGAAATGTCACAAAAGAAAAGAGTATTTTATTAATTCAACCGACATTTGGAGCCGTGAAAATGTTATATGTGTATTTTTTGTTAACTATTCAGTTTTCTGCATTTTTGTTTGCCGTTCGCTTACACGTTTATTGGCTAAACTGTGAATAGTCAGGAATTAAAAATTTATTTCAAATTTTAGTCAACTATGTTTTCATTTAAACAAATTCCTGACTTTTTATAGTTTAGTAAATAACCTACCTGTGTATCCATCCAAGTGCCACAAACTGTGTAGCATTTGCAGTCAGCTGGTCAATTACCAGTATAGGTATTAGCATTCAGGAACATCAATTTCAGTGAGAAGAATTTGTAATATTTCACCTACAGCATGGTGTGAAAAATGTCCTCGCTTCCAGCAGGAAAATTTAACATTTTCATAGCTTAGTGATGGAGAGTGGAAATTTTATTTAAAGCAGGGTAATATAATGTTAAGTCCTTCATTTTCCCCCCATAGCAGCAACAATAATTATTACAAATTAAATAAAAGTAAATGTAGGAGAGAGAACCATCAGCTGACCCAAGATGGCTGTCGCAAGCTCATAGAAACATTTTCAGAAATTAGGTGCTCAAGGCACTTTATGCAAACACCAACAGCAGCAAAAACCTAAAAACAAACACACATTTTAAAGGAGAGTAAAAAAATAAATAAAATGCAATAAAAATTTAAAGGGATACTATAGTGCCAGGAATACAAAGCTGTATTCCTGGCACTATCGCTCCCTCTGCCTCCCCCGTCCGTTTACTTACTTTATTTACTTACCTGATCCCAGCACAGATGTCCCTTGGCACTGGGTGGACGATCGACCCCCTCCGACGCCCTGCGATGCATGGGCGCTAATGCGCATGCACAGCAAATGCTGCGGGCATTAGACCTCCCCATAGGAAAGCACTGAATCAATGCTTTCCTATGGGGGAAAATCTGACCCTGGACGTCCTCTGCAGAGTGTGAGGATGCCCAGTGTCATATCCCTGACCAAAGGTCTGTATTGATTAAGGAGGCGCCTCCAGCTCCAGTGGCTGTCTGGTAGACAGCCACTAGAGACTGATTTAGTGCTGCAATGTAAACATTACAGTTTCTCTAGAACTGCAGTGTTTAACATAGCAGCACTGAGTGCAAAAGGGACATTGCACCCAGACCACTTCAATTAGCTGAAGTGGCCTGGGTGCCTACAATGTCTCTTTAAGCTGAATTACATCATGTGAACCAAGCTGTGAACTGTCTGAATAGCAAAATTATAACTATGTCAATAAACATAAATAAACTGAAAATCAAATAAATGAAAGAACCAAATAATGACTATAAAAATAAAATGAATTAAGTTATAATAAGGCCATTGATATGAAAAGAATTTACAGAATACATTTAAAATGAAAACAAAATAGTGAAACAACTCGATAAATTAATGCTAATAATTAATAATAGTTAAGTATGAGATAAAACACACTACGCAACAAATGTACTGATATGTGAAGATGCAGAAAAGAAAGAGGAGTATGATATGACATAGAGAAAGTGCTGCTTTCTCTGTTACTTTAACAGTCTGTTCATCAATGCAATTTTGTGAGCACCGTACCTGCACAAGTTTGTATTCGTGTTTTTTTCTTTGCTGATGTGTGCGTAAGTAAAGAATGATTGAGCATAATATTTGCCTCCTGCGTGAAATAAAATTACAAATTATAAGGGCTCTTCATGGTTGTTACCAGCTGAAACCAGTTTAGTGACCTGAAGATTTTCTACCATGAAATGTTTAAATCCCACTTGCATTGGGCAGATTTACATTCCACATGAAATATTAATGTGTTCTCACAGCAGTCTCTGCAGAGATGCCCTAACATTCCAACCTTCATGCCTTCAAAAAATCTGGAATTTTTGACTCCTGCACAAGCAGAATTGAAAGGCATTCTATTTTGGGAAGACCTATGTACTTATTATAGAGACTTGTACTACTTAACCACTATGGAGCTCTGAGTCAACGCTCAGCTTTTTGGCATTCCATTGCAGTGTTTTTGTTGTTAAATGACAACACGTGATCATAATCAGACACCCATTCAGTGAATGTCTACAGACATGTGTAAACTACCCAAGCTTATGCTATTTGTTATGTTCCCTCAGTTTTGGAACATTACTGTGAAATTGTAGAATGTTCTTCATTAGCCAGACTGACCTAATTCTCCAGCTTAAAGAGGCCTACTTACACAGCTCTAGTGGAAAAAAAAAAATGGAAAATGCAAACATATGTGAAGTAAAATGGTCAATGCATGGATATTTATCAATCTGCTTTTCCTGCAGTAAATATGTCAAAATGCAGCAAATAATCTTCTAAGATGTCCCCTGTAAAGATCAGACTTCACTTTTGCTCACAACGAGATATGGAAGTAGCCAGGATTAATGATGGTGCATATTGTTATTTTTTTATTGGGTTTTTTTTTTGTTGCTTGTGCATTTTAGGGCACAGCATGAACTCTACATAGGAATCCAGGAAACTAGACATTTAAACAATCATCCAATCTTCTACTCAGCTCAAGTATATCATTAGGCTTAATGATGGGAGACTAATCAGGGTTTGTAACCTTATAAAGTTCAGCCAGTGTCTCCATACCATTTAGACTAACTGGGAAGAATTCCCTCAAATTAACTCCTTAAGGATCGATGATGCATTCCATCGAGACATGTGAATCATTAAATAAGACTGCTAAATGATTACTGCATTTTGTGTCTGAGTACAGTTTCTAAAAGCTACATTATTATGATAACCTAGATCAGGGGTTCCAAACCCAGTACTCAAGGACCCCCCATCAGTCGAGAATTTAGGAATTACCCTCTTGTATCTAAAGAGTTGTTGTTTTTTTCCTAAAAACACCCTGAAACATCTGGGTAATACCTAAATCCAGGACTGTTAGAGGGTACATGAGGACTGAGTTGGGAACCCCTGTCCTAGATGATCATTGCTCCAGAACTGGCTAATGGTTTCTTCCAAGTCAATTATTTAACAATGTATTTTAGTTATTATTATTATTATTATTATGGTATAGTATATATATAGCACAAACGTATTCTGCTGCACTGTACAATTAGCATAAAGTAGTTTAACAAATTAGAGAAACCAGTACAAAAAGAACGTAGGACATTTCCGCTGAGCTGAGATTTAGCATTAACAACACTTTTATACAAGTACTTAGCTAGCTTGTGAGCTTACAATCTAAAGGTTATTTTTTTGTGGAGTTGAGACACAAAGGAGACGGGGAAATATGAAGGAAATAGAGCTTTGAAGAGTATTTGCAGCAGCTGATTTGATGTAAACTGATTTTGGAGCTACTGGGCAAGATATCTTAACTCCTTCAGTACTGTAAAGGAACAACTGGTAAATGTTGCTCTGTCTTACCTGCATCTCTTAAGCACACAACCATAAATTCAATCCGACTGACTTACATCCTTGATTTGAACTCTCTACTTGAACCACTTCAGTCTGTTTTCTTCTCTAATTATTCTGTTGAAACAGCTCTTACCAAAATGACCAGTGGCTTACTTGTCGTTAAATCCAAGTAGCACTAAATTCTTCTAATTCTACTTGACCAGTCTAATATTTTTTTATATTTTCAACAATCAACTCTTCCTCCTCATCATCCTTCATGATGTCAGTCTATGTTCTTTCTCATACTTGTACTTCTGAATCCCACCTTCAATAAACACAGAGGAACTGCACATTTTCTAAATTATAGAATAATAATAGTAATATAGAATAAGAATGTAATTTAATATTTCAAGCCGAATAGCTGCTATAAGAAATGTAAAATACATAATTAAACTATCAGAACTATCAGTAAACATCATTTCAAATTGTTATAACCAACAAAGAGCAAAGCCATTAATTTAGTTGGTAAACAACTGAGTTTCTATTAAAGCATTAGGTCTAGCACTTCAGTGGTGCCAGCAGTTAAAAAGTTTGTTGGGTCATTATCTTATAGACAGTGCTGTCAGCAATATCTCTCTAGGGTCAGATGTAAACAGCTTAGAGTTATATCATTATTAAGTAGAGTGCACTGGAATGCCTGGCTGCGTAGAAAGGTTGTACATTCGTGACATCCCAACTTGTAGATTCTAAATCATTGTCAAAGATTGATTTAGCTGATAAATTGAGCAGACATGCTTGCAAGAATTGCCCCAACTCTGAGACGTCTGACAAAGACCTGGGATCCCAGTCTTCTGAATAATTACTAGGGGTGCAAGGTAGCGGATAATATTTTGCTCACACATGAGGAGTGTACTAGTTAGACAAATTAATTTAGTCTGGACCCCTGAGGAGGGTCTGAAATGCCTCAGGTATAATTCTGGTACTATTTCATTGTTTGCCGTTTGTGAGTCCCCTGTAATACTGAGAGAGAAATAACACCTCAAACATATCAGTGACACTTTAATGCATCATATTTAAACTTATTGTACAGCTCAATGTAGGAATATTGTTGTGCAGGCAGGGCTTTAATCTAATGGGGTGAATGGTTAATACAGCATGGCCTGGGGTTAATACACCAGGTGTGGAGATTACCACTACAAGTTTATGCAATACTCTGAATTTGGTGTCACAATGTGAGTTATAGAACCCATGAGGATTTAGAGTTGGACTTATTACATGCTCAAGGGCTGGTTTTAGGAAGGTCTTAAAGGGACACTTGCATTTGGTAGATTTTGGCCTCATTAATATGCTGTATTTTGCATAAAATAAATGCTTTGCAGAATAATATGCCTGTCCCTTTAGCCACATCCCATCATGCCAGAAAAATACTTCCTTATCAAATGTATGCACACAGCTCAGTACTAAATGACCTGAACTACAAACCAATCTGCATTAGAAGGAGAGGGCACCTAGGAAGACACGTGTAAGGAAATCACTATCTGTTTGTAGTTTCTCTGATTGTATAGAGACAGATTGTGAATTAAAAGCAGCTCACTCAGTACTGTTGGGACTAAAGACTGTGAGCATACTTTTTTTTTTTCAATTTGACAATTTTTATTATTTTTGGGGTACAGAAAGGAAAAAGGGGATGGGGAGTATGCAAGTGAGCCATTTATGCCTCATCACAGTTGTTTCATTACATTTTCCTAATCTCCGTAGCATTTGCATGTGGATACTTTTGGTACCTCTTATCGTGTTGGGATGGGGATGGGGTACAGAAAACAAGAGGGGTGGGTGCATGGTGGGATGCATATCGGTGCTAGCAGAGGTTTGAAGAGGCTTGTCATGAGGCCCTCCTCTTTCGTTCCCTTTTACTCTGTGTTGGGTTGTGTACCGTACATGCGGTGAATCTGTCTCCACTCCTGCCTTGGCTCTCAGGCCCTTGGACCCGCTGTATGCGGGTTCCGTGTCTCCCTAAACGCTCTGGGGAGCCTCGTGTCTTTTGGGATACCCTGTCTCCCACCCCTGGTCCTTCCTCGGGAGCCGTGTGGCCCTGATCTCCATTCGGGGAGGGTGTGGGGGTTAGCTCGTCCTTTACCCTCGTGGGTTTCGCGGTTTCTTTTACCAGAGCTAATCTGTATCCAAGTTGTGCTTGTGTCGGCGGGTATGCTCGTGCCCTTATTGTCTACCTGTAGGATTGGGTATCTGGGGGGGGGAGGGATAACTGGGGTAACAAGTTAACTTGTATGTCCTCGTTAGTTTGACTTGTGTTGTTTATTTGACTCTGTATTGTCCCTTTCGATGACCCCTTGTGAGTTTCTAGGGTCTCGGCCCTCTGAGTATGTTGCCCAGAGCGCTCTCGCTGTGGCGTTTCCCTTACCCATTTTTTGTTTGGTTCCACATTATTCCTTTATATTCTAACGTCGTGGTAACCAGCATTTCTACCTCCGCTATAGATGGGACCCTTGGGGTTTTCCACTGTTTTGCTAATAGTGTGGAGGCTGCAGTTAATGTTAGGAATGTTAGCTTGATGTTGCAATGTGGCGTGCCTGGAGTAGAAATGTTTCTGCATTGTGGTCTAGTATGTACCCTGTGGATCCCTGTATTAGCCCCGCTATTTGCTTTCAGTATGGTTGAACTAGGTCACATGTCCACCAGATGCGTCAGGTATCTCCAACATCTGTCACTCGTGTCAGGGTATATTTTCTTAAGCCGTGAAGGCACCATGTACCATCTGTACATTAATTTACGTGAGGTCTCTATGTGGGAGGCGCATGTCGTGAGTCCTTTATGGTTTGTGTAAATGCAGTGCCATTCGTCTTGTGTAAGTGTCCTACCTATATCCCTGTGCCATTCGGCCATGTACCTCCACTCCGGCCCTATTTCGCTCTTGGTGATCGACTTGTAGCACACAAATAGTGTTTTTTTTAGCTGGGATTTGGTGTAGACACATCCTTTCAAAAGGAGTGAGAGTGGTGGGGGATGTGGGTGGGGGGTCTTGTCTTGTAGTTTTGCCTATTAGTGCTTTCATCTGCCAGTATGAGAACGTGAGCTGCGGTGGTATGTTGTGTGTGGTCTGAATAGTTGGTAACGTGTGAAGTCCTTGAGAGGAGCTTATCTGATGCAGGTGTGTGATGTTGAAGGCCTTCCACGCTCTATATGGGAATATTATTATTATACTTATTAGAGTTATTGAGTGCACTGGCGTCGCCATAGACCACTGCCCGGCAGAACAGAATTTGGATCTGTGACTGTCCCATATGCGGTACAGAGGTTTAGTGGTAGGTAGGGCTGTCTGATGATGTGCGGCGCAGTCGTTTGGGCATCCACAGAGCCGCTGGGAAGTTTGCGACCCCACTGCAACCAGCTTCTATCTCTATCCATTGGGGAGTGTATGTAGATGAGTGCATGGCGAGGATATTCGCCATTTGCGCTGCGTGGTAGTACGCCTTAAGGCTCGGGAAGCCCAGGCCTCCTCTGTCTATTGGCCTCATAAGCAACGTTCTTGAGACCCGGGGGTGTCTCCCTTCCCAGCTAAATTTAATCAGGTTGGATTGGAGTCTTTGTAGGTACGCCTGCGTTAGGGGTATTTGTAGAGAGCGGAGCACATAGAGGATTTTAGGCAAGATTGTCATTTTGATGGCCGCTATTCGGCCTAGCCATGAAAGGAACTTGTTCTGCACGAATGCAGTATGTGCTCCACCTCCTTGGTTAGTTTAATGCCTAGGAATGTCAAGAAGTCATTCCTCCAGTCATATTGGAATTTGAGTCGATATCTCCCTTCGTCTGCCTTTGGGATGTTTATGCACATGGCTTGGTTTTAGTTAGGTTTACTTGGTAGTATGATTGCCTGCTGTAATCTTGAATTTCTTTATGGAGGTTTGGGAGTGAGATTGCTGGGTTAGATAGTGTGAGAAGGATATCGTCTGCGAAGAGATTTAGTTTGTATTCCTTGCCACCTATGGTGTTCCCCTTAATGTCCTGGTTGTTTCGAATCGCTATGGCCAGTGGTTCCAGGGCCAGCACATAGAGTATTGGGGAAAGGGGGCAGCCCTGTTGGGTACCATTGGTAATTGCTAGTGGAGTGGAGCTAAACCCTGAGTTTAACACTGTCGCTGAGGGGGTGCTGTAAACGGCCTTTACCATGTTAAGGAAGTCGGGAGGAAAGCCATATCCGGTGAGCGCTCCCCGCAAAAATTGCCAGTTAAGCCGGTCGAACACTTTTTCAGCGTCTAGGGATATGAGTGTACTTTGTGTTTTGGTTCTATTGAGGTAGTGGAGGATGTCTAACACCTTCCTCGAGTTGTCTGGGCCCTGTCTGCTGGACACAAATCCCACCTGGTCCGTTTAGATCAGGTCGGGCAGGATTGTTTTAAGTCTCTCAGCGTATATTTTGGCGTATAGTTTGGCATCTGTGTTCAGCAGGGATATGGGTCTGAAATTTGGGCATGTCGTGCGCGGTTTACCTGGTTTGGGTAGGGTGATGTGGGCTGTGAGGAATTCGGTCAGTAGGCTACTCTGTCGTGTAGCCAAGTTGAAGGCTTGTGTTATATATGGGCTCAGAATGTTTTTGAATGTGGCGTAGTAGAGGTTTGTGAGGCCGTCTGGGCCTGGTGCCTTTCTCTTCGGCATCAGTTCTATCAACTGTAGTGCTTGCTGGGTTGTGATGGGGTTCGTTAGATGCGCTATGTGTTGTTCTTGGACCTATTCTGTGATTGTGTCTTGGGTGGGTTGGTGTACTTGAGGGTTGTCTTTCAGGTTGTAGAGGGAACTATAGTAGGTCGCAAATTCGTTGCAAATTTGTGTGGGTTGGGTAAATTTTTGTCTTTTTGGTGAGCGCAGGTAGGGGATTTTTGTTTGGGCTTGTTTGTCTCTGAGTCTCTGGGCGAGAACTTTACTAGCCCGATTTCCAAGGACAAATGTGTTGGCTTTCAGTTTTTTCAATGCATAGCTCGCTTTTTGGAAGTTTGCGACATTAATTTGACTTTGCATGTCCTTTATCTGTTTTTGCGTGGTCATGGAGGGGCCGAGTATGTTAGCTCTGTGGAGGTCCTGCAGTTTTTTTAGATTTTGGATATGTGTGTGGTGCTGCCGTTTCTTGAGGTAAGAGGCTCTTTTGATGAGGATGCCTCTGATGACCGGTTTGTGGGCCATCCAAAGTGTGAGGGCGTTTATGTCCATTGTGTTGTTGGATTGGAAGTATGCATGTAGGTCCTGTTTTAGTGTTTGGACAAAATGGGGGTCGCTAAGGAGTTGTTCATTTAACCTCCAGGGGCCTCTGTTCTTATAATTATAATGGTCTGCTATGTGAAGTGTGACCGGGTTGTGGTCCGACCAGGAGAATGTTCCCATCTCACAATCTATTGCTCTATTCAGGTGTGCGCTCTGTAGCAGAAACCTGTCTATCCTTGAGTACGTGTTACGTACCTGGTAGTTGTGTGTACTCTTTCTCATGTGGGTGCAGAGTGCGCCATATAGTCTGTATGTGTGTAAAAGCTTGGTCAAGATTTTACACTGTCTGTGGAGTACCTTTGCTCTGCCGGCTGTGTGAGTTGCTGAGGAATCTAAGGTAGGGTCTTGGAATTGGTTGAAGTCTCCGCATATGATTGTGGTGCCTGTTTGGAGCTGTGTTATGAGTTTCAACAAGTTACTGAAATATGCTCCTTGGTTTACGTTTGGTAGGTATGTGTTGACTATGGTATAAGTGGAGCTATTGATAGTGCAGATCAATATAATGTATCTGCCTAGCGGATCTTTTTTCACCAAACTTTCGTCGAAGGCTAAGTGTCGGCTGAGTAGGATAGAGACTCCCTTTCGTTTTGTGGGTGCGGTGGCATGATACTGATGGGGATGCAGTGCCTTCCCCAGGGTGGGAGTTGTATCTGATGAAAAGTGTGTCTCTTGTAAGCATATCACATCAGCTTGGGTGCTCTTAAACTCTTTAAGGAGAGTGTACCTTTTTTGTGGGGTATTCAACCCTCTGACATTGTGGGTGTATATTTTCATATTATTATCGCGTGATGTGCGTACCTTGGTCTGGGGCTCCTTCGGTGCTCATGTTAGTTTGCTTATCTGTGTGTTTGATGGCTGATGCGATGTGAAAGGGAGTGCAGGCTAGTTTGCAGGTGGATCGAGTATCCGAGCTCCGAGGATTTTGGCCTTGACCCTGTTTGGGGTGCCATATAATATTGGAGTGATGCTGTTTGGGCATGGTCTCATAGTTTCGGTACTTTGCATTAGTGTAAGCGGTTAGAAGACATACATCAATAAAATATAACAAACATTTTAAACAGTAAGTGAACACCACTACTGAGGTGTCCAGTGTTTCCATTATGAAGGTTGTAATTTAAACCTTCTTGGTTTGAGGGTAGGTGGTCGGGTCTAACCGTTTTGAACTCGAACCCGTGCGACTAGGTTCATTATTGTTAAGCACTTAGCAGCAGTTCGACCCTCAGGGCTATGGGTCTGGAGGAGGTCGGTGCCCTCTGCGGTGGACATGATCACGTGCGTCTTGCCGTCCTTGTTAATAAGCAGCTTTACCGGGTATCCCAATCGGTACTGGAGGTTGCGCTGGCGGAGTGTCTCTGTGATGTTTCGGAATGTCCGACACCTTTTTAGTGTTTCTGTGGATAGATCTGTGTAGGTATTGATGTCTTTGAACTTCCCCGGTACATTTCTGCTGGTTCGGTGGGTTTTCAAGATCTGCTCTTTAATGTGAAAGTAATGTACTCTCATGAGGACATCTCGTGGGGTGGAGGGAGGTAAGTGTGCAGGCTTTCCTACTCTGTGTATCCTATCTAGGATCAGCATATCTGCCGGGATGTCGGGCAGCATGGAGTGAAAAAACTCTATAGCCTAGGCCGTTAGCTCCTGCTGGTGCACCTCTTCCGGTATGCCCCACAGCCGTAGGTTATTGCGGCGGGAGCGGTCCTCCATAGCCATGATTTTTTTTCATACCGCTCCATCATGGAGTCATGGGCTGTGACAAACTCCTCCATTCTGCCCTCTAAGTGCGAGGTTCTGCTGCCTAAGTCAGCAATGTCCCTTCTCAGGTCTGCTATTGCTGTGTGGATCGTGCTCTGCATTTTCCCTGCTAATTCATCCAGCATGTGCTGCAGGGCTCATTTGTTTAATGCTGTACCTGCTGGAACTCTCAGCAAGTCATTGTGTGTGTGTCTGCTCTGTGCTATAGCTTGCTCTTTAATTTAACATTAGACTTAGTACTCCTGTAACATTTTCATATTCCTCATATCTTCCTCAAATGGTTCATGAAGATATGATGGGTCTGGAAATAGCTGCTTAAATGATCACAGAACATTTGTCTTCATACTCTGGTCCAAATCCAGATTTTAAAAATGTCAAAGAACTTTAGAAGTGTCAAAGAAAAGTGACGAGATGTTGTACATGATGTGCTCATTTAACTAGAGAGAATGATACTAAAACATATTATTACTCTCAAATGTAAACTCTCTCTTGGCGTATGATGAGTGAAGGTCTTATTGGGAATGTGAATTAAATGATGTGTTGAAAGGAAGTACTGGGAGAGATCTGTTCTGTAAGACAATAAATAAACTGTCTTCCTTACTGATACTTCTTGGGGTTCCCCAGTTAAACCCAGTAAGGGTTCTATGAACAGTCATCTAAGGGCACTGTATATATTCATGTTGTAAAGAATTATACAAACCATGCCCTCTGCATGTTTTATAAGTGTTTCTCATTATATATTTACGTTAAGAACCCCTAAATTCCTAATCGTACCAGATATCTAGTCAGTGTTTTTCAGAAACAAATCATCATGGTGTCTGTGAGGATGTCAAAAATGCACTTCAAATCAGCGTAATGACAGAAGTGTAATGAGATGCAAAGTGTGAGCGTGCAATGATTTGCCCAGTTAATGCAATGATTTGTATCCATATAGTAAATGCTGTGTGATATTAAACATGATCAGCATATTAGGCACATCTGCATCTACTAACGTAGTGAACACAAGGCTTTCTGTGGGCCCATCTGTCTGACAACTGACCTGAGATGTGACCTTAACAAAACTCACTCTGACTTTCAATCGCTTTTGAAAAGCTTCCCTGACCTTTTGCCGAGAAAGCAAGTGAAGCAGTAAGGATGAATCGAGAGGATCATGTCACTTACAAAGGAACCAAAGTGTGATTTAGCCTTGATCTGAAAATGTAGGCACTGAGAAATGTGAATATTGTTTGGATAATGTTACCACTAATCCATTTTCCTCTAATTAACTCAGAGATGTAGCCTTGCACAGTCCTTCCTTTTTCTATTCAGCGGAACACTTATCCTCCATTTAAACTACGTACCATGTGTTTAAATATTTTTATTTCTACATATTGCATAAAGTGGGTTAGATCACCGGTCAGTGGGATAGTTGATTTATTCTTTGATTAGAACAGATTTCTTAGAAAATTATATTCTTTATTGTATTAGCAGTATTCATAATGTAGTTGTATTCTGAATAGAGACTTTGACCCAAGTTATATATTTGTAATGGGTACCATAAGACACCACAAACACTTCTTTCAAATAAAGTAAACGATGGATTGGGTATATCTTCTGCTGCAAATCAAGTCAATGACATGTCAGAGAATGCTGTTCAAAATACGATATTTTTAAAGTAAGATGTGTTCTGTAGCAGAGCTCCCTGTATCCCGGCTGGGTATCTCCGCCAAGGACCGCTTCCTAGCTGGAACCAGGGAAAACCCCAGCGCTTCTGCCCCAGTCACCGAGGCTCACAGGGACTGGATGACAAACAGTCCTGGTGTCAGGATTACTAGTTGATCCAGCACGTAGAACTGTATCACACAGATGACTAATAGGTAACATATTACCGGGCCTTAGAACGGCCAGACTTAATGTACCAAAAAGTAGTCAGGATACTTGCCGAGGTCAGGGGATACAGAAAGAGACACAACGATAAGGGAAAGCCAGATGTCAGGGATACCAGAATACACGGAAGTCAAAATCAAAGCCAAAGTCAAAAACCAGAAGAAACTTGAATCAGGAACACGCTCTCGGACAATCACTAGGGAAACCACGACCGAGCACTGAGCAGGATGAGAACTGGGCCTAAATACCCCTCCTCTTGATCTGATAGGCTGTAATTGGCCTTTGACCCCAAAGACAGTTACCAGGTTCTCATTTGCATAACTGCTGCTCAGCACAAACCCTCATGTGGATTTGATTGCTGCTCGGCACAACTTTTCCTGTCAGAACAGTAAATGTCATTAATCACATTTTTATATGTGGATGAATATGTGACACCTGGGAGCTCTAATCCTTACAAGGACTTTCCCCGCCGAATCCTCCACGAACTGGAAAAAGGTGCTAAACAGTGATTATAGCTTTTCCCCTCCCAGTAACTAGACGACACATAGTTCTGGGATTACAACTGATCTTAATGAGCCAAACTCAGCCTTTTATGCACAGACCCCAGCAGGGGGTTTCCATTGTATTCAGCACAAGCCCCTCCCAGGAATCTCTGGGGCTGGGAGATAATTGCATTAAAGGGACACTCCAGGCACCCAGACCACTTTTGCCCATTGGAGTGGTCTGGATGCCAACTCCCACTACCCTTAACCCTGCAAGTGTAATTATTGCAGTTTTCATAAACTGCAATAATTACCTTGCAGGGTTAAGTCCTCCCCTAGTGGCTGTCTACTAGACAGCAGCCACTAAAGGGCACTTCCTCGTCTATAGCACACGCTATGTGAGGACCTCCAGCGTCACTAAAATCCCCATAGGAAAGCATTGAAAAGTCTAATGCGCGTGCGCAGCATTGCGGTCTCCCCCGCCGGCGGGCGGGATCAGTCTCCCTGTCGGCTGACGTGGTGACGGGGAGGAGCGTGGGAGGGAGAGGGGACCTGCAGTGCCAGGAAAACGGATTGTTTTCCTGGCACTGGAGAGTCCCTTTAAAGACCAGTAAGCCAATTATCTCCCAGGAACATATAAAATATAAAACATAAAAAATACCCCAAAACATAATAAAAACATAAAATAAACCCACAAATAACTACATCATTAAATCATTAATTACATCATTAAATAGCTCTGATCTGAGCGCCCAAGTTCTCCAAATAGCGCTCAGATCCATGCGGTATAGGAGAAACGCTACCGTGTTAAAGTTTTGACCGGCTGCACACATGGTCCTATGCCCATAATAGTTCCAGGGCGTTTGGTGCTTTTGCCGGTCAGCTTTCGGGAGCTCCTGCAGCACAATATGGGGTGCTCCGCCTGGTTCTTAGGTAGCGATTGTTCCCCCTAGTCTCAGACACCTTCCCTCCAAAAAGCGCTCTCCTGGTGGATTTCAAAGTGGTTCAAAACCGCAAACCAAGTTGTCTGGGAATCGCACGGTCACCTCTTGCCAAAAACAGTTCCATAACATTTGCTGCTAAGCACAGCTAGGACTATTCATGGGTTTGGTTCATGCGGACGGCCGCCAGAGAGCCAGTGTTCGGCTCTATTCGCATAAAGGGAAAGTGCCACACCAAGGGTACCCAGGGAACACTACTAATGGCGGCTGGGCAGGGTAACTCCCAAACGGTGTCCCAGATCTGGGAGGCAGCTCTGGCATAGTCTCCTCAGCACAGTGGCCCTACCTTCTATGAGATCATTAGTGCTGAAGATAAAGGCCCAATCCAATGGTTCTCATAGAGAAGCATTGGGGTCCAACAATGCATGCACACAATCACCATACTCCGTCAATCAGAAGCTTTACTTCTCTATGCATTCACAGCATTCAGCGTCATTAAGTCTGACAGAAAAAAGAGGTGTAGTTTAGCCAAAATACAAACATTGCGGGTTCTTTTTAACTGCAATGTTTTACATTAAAAAGAAAAAGGATCTATGCACCAAAACTATTTTATTAAGACAAAGTGGTTTGATGCCTAGAATGTCAATTTAATAATTAATTTATTAACACAGTCTCAGAGTTTATTTAAGGTATTGCGACTATGTTTATTACTTTATTTTTATATATTTTATATTTTGTGCAGAATCTGAGTGAGGCAGAATGCACCATAAACAAATTAACAATGCTCAACATTTTAATAGAAGCATCGTTTCAGTCTGTGGTGCTCTAATGGAATTATGCTGGTGTCAGTAGGTATTCTCAAATAATTAGGAGTGGATTTAACCGATCAGATAAGTTGTGCAAAGTTCTAAAATTGGTATTCTCCCCGTGGAAACAAATGAAATCAGTAGGAACATTCCATTGGTGATTACTGAACAACTTTGCACCTTTTGTTCAGGTCAAAACACTTTCATATCGCTCCCCTTTAGAGTTATTCACGAAGCAATGCTTGAAATGATTTGTAACTCGCATTTTTAGACACTACTGGGATACAATTTCATGGCTTGACATTTATACCAGTGAGAGAACTCTACAGATTCTTTGTACTGATCTTAGACGCTATTGTTTTCTGAGTCTCGGACCTTTCTACTAACCTACTTGGCTGTAATAAAGGAAGCAGTGATATAAACCAAAAACCAATGTGGTAGAGTATCTGCCGTCTGTTTCAGTTCTGCATTTCACTTTGATTACATGCCACACATGAAGTAGGGTTATATAATAAAGAAACAGAGCCTAGGGGAAAACAAACATTCATTTTGATCCATAGCTGAAAAGGTTTTGAGCAGAGATCATTCAGAAATGCAGTAGCTTCAAAGAGAATTAGAGGTACAGGAGGTAACTAAATATTCATTGTTTCATTATTTGTTTATTTTTCACAAATTACCCAAAATTATTAAGCAAAACAAATCCTTTCTTTGTGTACTTAAAGGACCACTCCAGTTACCATAACAACGGTGTACCAATGAAGTTGTTATGGTGTCCACAGAGGTCGTTTTAGAATATGTTTTCACACACAGAGAAGCATGCCAAACAAGTGGATTCGTGAGAAAATAGGATGCTGGAATTTTACATAGATAAATGGAAAATGCTGAATTTGTAAGTAACAGACTTTTACATAATGCAATGTATCTTAATGTCTTTCTCATTACTCCTACCTGGGTCATCATGATATTGTAGTGGGTAGCAAATTATTATAATAGGCACATTATATCTGTCAGGGCTTAAATACCTACAGTAAATAGTTTATTGTAGAAATGCTACACCTCTGATACTGTGATAGAATCCAAAGAAGGTGATATATTCCAATTGAGAGGCGAGTCACTGAAGATTTTACTAAGCAAATGTCACGTGCTACATTTTTGCCTCTGTCACAAATGTTGAGAATCATGACCATAACGAGCCTGATATATTAAAATCCATCATGCAGGAGCATTCATGAATTTCCATCCAGATGTGACCTTGCAGGAGTGCTCATTATCAGGCAGCAGCTGTACAGTGGGAAGAAGCGAGTTACCCATTCCAAGATATTCGCCGGCCATGCTGATTCAAACTGATAAAACTGATACATATCATGAAAATTCTAAAACTGGTTAAATATTATAGGTCGGCCACATATGAAACCTCATGTTTAACCATTAATATCTGTGAATGTATCACCAGTTTGTTGTTATCTCCAGGTCATCCTTCTGTTTTAGGAATTCATTAACTGCGGTACGCGGGTAGTATAGGGACACTGACTCCAAGAACAGCATGAGCAAAAGCTCCCGGATCTGAGGCTGATTTATTCCTTCAATTAAAGCGAGCCTAAATCTACATGATTGAGCAACTGTCCCAGCTTGAAAAGGTATTTAGTCTCCACATTCACACTGCTCTTTAGATGAATAACCTGTAAGTATCAGCATCAATTACCACCACGAAATTCCATAAAACTAAAAAAAATATATATCATAAATAATAAATATATATGTAACTAACAAATGTCCAAGACATAGCTTGCAATCTGTAAAACTCTGCCAACAAAATAGTACCCACTTCAAAAAATGAATTTACCAAAAAACTTTTAAAATGGATGCTGTAAGCAACAACTTTAGCTTAATGAAGCAGTTTTGGTGTATAGATCATGTCCCTGCAATCTCACTGCTCAATCTTCTGCCATTTAGGAGTTAAATCCCTTTGTTTATGCAGGCCTTGTCACACCTTCCTGCATGCGACTTACACAGCTTTCCTAAACAATTCCTGTAAAGAAATCTGATCTTTAAACTTTATTTTTGGAGCTGCAATGATACATCATGAATATGGTCACATAAATCAGCTGCAATAAGACGAGTACAACAATATTCAGTGTATGTCAATCTAAGAGTAAATTGCATACTTAAGTATCATAGACATTAGGAACACAGTTCTATCTTGTCAGACAGATAAGGAATGGAAACAAAGTCCCAGGATAGAACTGTATGCAGGAGCAAAAAGTAGGTACCACTGGATAATGAAAAATAACTATAACAACTGCAGGTGAGCAATTAAGGCACATCAACCTATGTAATAAGATAAAGTTTGGAATTTGTGCACCGTGGGATCAGCAATAGGACATTCAAGTTGCAGGTGTAGTGCGTGGGCAACTCAACCAATGCCCCTGGAGGTTAAATCCCAGCTTCTCTCGCTGTCAGGCACTCAGATGGTGCTGCTCCGTTGAGCCAAAGCATTCAGCCCATCTGGTATTCTCTTCTCCTGGAATTCGTTTTGGCTTTTAGCCAGAGCTAACTTGTATTAGAGACCGGGAGGCTTATTATCCCGCAGTCGAGGTGAGTATGCATAGGTTAGGACGTAAGAGCTGTGATACCTGATCACCCGCCGTGGTGGCCTCTTATGCTTTCTCCTCCACATTGACGCTCTTGGGACTCGCTGGGAATATCCCTTCATGTGGTGCTGGTCAGCAGGAAGGCTTTGGGGTGCCGTGACCTGGCCAGTAAGAGTTAAGGTAAGTCCATGAGCTACAGAATCTCCCAGAATTTTGCGAATATGTGATCAAACGCCATGAGGAGCGGGTCCATGAGTATGGTCGACTATGAGAAGGTGCACGTGGTCATAGGCCCAGGTTGGGCAGCCATCTTAACTGCAAGACTGAGATTCTCTGAATTGTTGGGAGACTTTATTTCTTAAGAAGTTGACCACACAAATACTCCAGTGCGGACCGGGATATCCCCCACTGGTCCAAAGAGGGGACACGGGGGGTTACGGGGCCCAAAGCCAGCATGCTTCAATTTGAGGTCGGGAGATCGGCCGCTTCCCCCGCCATGAGTGTAACTACAGGCTGCAAGGGAGCCGGTCTCAGGCTATCTCCCTGGGATGCAGGTAAGAAATTCCAAAGCAGTTGGCAGGGTGTTCCCCACGGTTGGAAGCAAGATTCATAGGAAATATTGTAAAGGTAGAGGGGAAAATGGTTTCTATGAAATAGCAACAAATCCTGGAGGTTATTGTCAGACAGATGGTGAGGAAATTAATGCTGAAAAGGGGTTAGATATTCCATAAAGAAACCTCAATATCAACTATAAACTTTTAAACTGTCAAGAAAGAAAAGATTAACGTTTTGGAATAGTATTTAGAGTCAGACTAGATTACTATTGGAAATCTCTGGGCTGAACTAGAAGAATACCATACTGGGGTGGGGAAAAATTCACAAAGCAAGAAAACAAAAGCTGTAATCTCTGTGACAAACAATATTACCAAGTACTGATGGCAAGGTATTCGCAAACCTTTCGCATATCACATTTACACTTTCATTTTTTCAATCAGTTAAATTTAGCCAATAAATAGTAATAGTGTAGAGTTTTGTTTTTTTTAACTACAGAGTTTGTGTTAACTTCTTTTCACTTTAAAAAAATCAACAGATTGTATTTTTTTATACTATTGTATTTATGTATTCTGATTGCTGTTCTAGCAGATGCGTTCTGGAGTTCTTTAGGTCTTATATGGGAAAGATGATAGCCATTACTAAATTGTTGCTCTCGTTTGCTCAACTATTAAGAACATTCATTTAAAATTTTCACTGACTCATTCTCCCCATTGCTCCCCGTTAACGCCCCAAATTCTCTCAAGTTCAACCACCAAGCAATTAGAAACTAGTTGGTACCAAATCTAGCGAACACACCCTGAGACCAGCTAGAAAATCAATTAAGAATGCGAGTAAATTGAGTAAGGCCATCTGACTACCTAACTTCCTAGGTTCGTACCCTCTACTAATATGGAGAGTGGCCAAGGGCACACAGATAGCAACATATCCTGAAACAGGGGAACCTGGCCCTCTGCCCACTACTACTGACCGATTGGCCCACCCGACAAGATACTGGTTCCCCCAGTATACCCTGAACCAGTGGCGTACATACCGCGGTCACAGGGGTCGCGGCTGCGACTGGGCCTGGCCCACCAAGGGGCCCGGCCGCCCTGCGACCCAGTATGTACCCAGAGTGGCCAGCCTCTTCTCCTGGGGGGCCCAGGAGCCGGTCACCTCAGGGCCCCCCGAGGCTGGCCCTGGTGTTACCCATCGGGCTGGCTGGTGGGCGCGCGAAGGAGCACTCTCCCCTGAGGGCTCTCTGCCCAGCTCCCTCGCGCACCGCACTGATGCCGGAGCCGGAATATGATGTCATATTCCGGCTCCGGCATCAGTATGCGGTGCGCGAGGGAGCTGAGCAGGAAGCACTCAGGAGAGAAAGCTCCCTCGCGCGCCCGCCAGCCCGCTGGGTGACACCAGGGCCAGCAACACCACTGGACCCCAGGGAATCCCGTCAGCACTCCCAAAGGTAAGGAGGCTGGGGGATTAAATTTAAAAAAAAAACATGTGTGTGTGTTAGTGTTAGAGTGTGTGTTAGTGTTAGTGTGTGTGTTAGTGTTAGAGTGTGTGTGTGTGTATGTGTTAGTTTGTGTGTCAGTGAGTGTGTTACTGTGTGTGTCTGTTACTGAGTGTGTTAGTTTGTGTGCATCTGTTAGTGAGTCTGTTTGGTGTCTGTTAGTGAGTGTGTATGTGTCTGTCACTAAGTGTGTGTCTGTTCATGAGAGTGTGTGTGTGTCTGTTAGCTAGTGTGTATGCGTCTGTTCGTGAGAGTGTGTGTGTCTTCAGCACTTACCTTTCTCCAGCGCCGGACTCCCTTGGTGCTGGGGATCCCTCTGCCCCGATCCTCCGCTCAGCTCCAAATGCGCATGCGCGGCAAGAGCAGCGCGTGTATTCAAACCGCCCATAGAAAAGCATTACTCAATACTTTCCTATGGACGTTCAGTGTCTTCTCACTGTGATTTTCACAGTGAGAATCGCAGAAGCTCCTCTAGCAGCTGTCAATGAGACAGCCACTAGAGGCTGGATTAACCCTCAGTGAAACATAGCAGTTTCTCTGAAACTGCTATGTTTTCAGCTACAGGGTTAAAACTAGAGGGACCTGGCACACAGACCACTTCATTGAGCTGATGTGATCTGGGTGTCTGTAGTGGTCCTTTAAGTGTATGTGTATTTGCACGCACTGGCGTACATACGGCAGGGGTCTGTGACCCCTGCGACCGGGTGCCCGCCACCATTTGTTGCGGCCCAGGCCCGCGCAGAGCAAATGCGCGGGGGGGGCCCACAGATCAGTTTTTGCACTGGGGCCCCATGGGTTGTGTGTACGCCACTTCCCCGAACCACACCCAAGATCTGGCTGGGTCCCATGCACTACTGTGCACCAGGTGCCCCACACAGTTGCATACCCATATTTACACGCTCTATGCATATTCTACACTATGGATTCTTAATTGTGCACCTGCACGAACTCCTGTGACTTCACCGAGGTTACAAAGACGTCCCCCGCACCCTCCAGAGGGCTAGGCTGCTTATAGCTACCAGTGTTGCATTGCCCCTGGTATCCCCACCCTAAGACCTAAGATCTCTGGGATGTGAACACCCCACATACAGAGATATTTCTGCCCTCCAACCTACAAAACACGATGGGTAAAAATGTATGCTTAGGCGTTACTTGTTGACCAATACCAGTATACTATGGGACTGCCAGTAATGTGTGACTCTCTGTTTACCATTATGCCAAACCATATGTACTTGTGCAAATGTGTTATGTCTGCATCTTACAATAAAAATGAAACATTTTAAAAATGTTCACTGACTAAATCACTGAATGGTTTGGTAATTTATGACATTATAACCAAAAACAGAATGTGTATAGCAAACAGTTTAGCACACTGTGACATTTTCCCAATAAATATAAACATGACAATCAAGGTAAAAGCAGGTGAATACATTTCAAATATTTGCAATATATATTTTATAGAAATTCCTCCTAAAACTTTGAGACACAAAATAATGAGTGATTAATATTATTATGGATTAAGGTATAATCAGCAGCATTTATTGCTAAGCTTAGCACACAGTACCCATAGTGTAGTATCCCCCATCAGACATTGGTTACACCTGTCTGCAATGTGTTGTAAAACAGAAAGAAGACCGTAAATACTTAGTAAATTACAGATCCACCCTGTCGTTCAAACACACCCAGGAGAGTCGAAGCAGGTAAAAAAAACACCAGCAGAGACCTGTGTATACATTGTTACAGTCACTGCTACATACGTCTGGGCTCCCTAAATCTACACTTGTCAACACATGGTGAGTGTGTAGAATGATGAGCTCATTAAACCTTATCCATACAAATTACAGCTGAAAAAAGAGACAGCAATCAGTTCAAGTATGTGTCTGCACCAATAAAGACCTCTTCACCCACCCGTTTGCTGCTGGTGTTTTGGATTTTTTTAAACTTGTATTTTCAGCTGGCTGAAGTAGAGTCAATTCCACAATTTGAGACCAACCCTCCCTAAACACTGAAGTAATAGACAGCTAAAATACATAAAATAAAGAATGTATTCCGTACATTAGGACCAAAAGAATGATCAGCTTTCATTTGCAATTCATACCAGTATTCTCTGTATTAGCCCCCCTCCACCAGCAAATACCCTGACCAACAAGTTAGCAAATATAATAATACTTTCACCGCTCTCTAATGAGGATCACAGTTATGGTTACTGCTTATCAAAGGTCACGATGCATTGCTGTAAATCAAGACTGTGACGAAGTGCCCTTCGCCACTTGTGCCTGGAGAGGACTGCTTGCCCGCCTCTTGCCCTGTGACTATTGCCCTTTAAAGACATGATTTGGGCAAAATGGATTTGTGTTGTGCTGCTGCTGGCCCTTTAAGAACCATCTGGGGACATACTGTGGAGTTACTGGGTGGCCACCATTTCCTGTATCAGAAGCACATGGTGAGAACAATGGATGGCGGCCATTTTAACTCACAGACACTGTTTGGACTTTTCAACACGGTGCCATCTCGCCAGTATTTGGTGCACAGAGACATCGTGCAGTGGTTTTGGACTATACAGCAGGGGACACATTATACAGTAATTGTTTTTCATTTAGCCTGTATATGTTCTGCAGAATCTGCATTAAACTGTATTTTCCAAAGTACTGAACGGATCTGGGTGAATTTTGGATATGTGGTTCACCCAGATCCCCCGGTTCCAAGGATATACTTTTTATGGGGTTATTGCATGTTTTGGGGTCCCTGTGATGTATATTTTAGAAGTTATGAATGCTGTAAAAATTGTAATGTTTCTGGCCAGCAGATAATTGAGCTTTGTGTATTGTAGAAACTCAATTATCTAGCCTGGCCCAGAGGAGGAGTTTTGTGTTGCATAAATTGTGAGTTCTGTGTGCCAGTAAATCAGTCTTGTTCCAGCATTAAGCCTTGGCTCATGTTTGGGGGATTGGAGAAATACACTCTGGGGATTGCTATAATCACTATACTCCCCAGGGTATGATCACTAAGTTCTGCTAAGAGCTTGTTCCTGCTCTCTGGGGAAAGAGAGGTTCACCCACTGGAAGCTGGATCCTGGCCTTGGGTCCAGGGTGGGTGGAGACAGCAGAGACCCCAGCGCAGTTGCATCGCTGGAAGTGGGGTCTGCAGTGCTGATGGTGTCGGTTGGAGTGCTTGGAGTCCTCGGCAAGCGCTAGGAGCATCGATTGGCGGAGGTACTCAGTCGGAGTGCCAGCGTTCCGTCACATTTGGTGGCAGCGGCGGGATGGCGTCCTAGTGCGAGGACCAGCAGCTCGGAGACACCGGTAACGTGTGGAGTTACGGATTTATAATTGAGGGCAACGCTAGCCTCTGCGCAGCGTCCCTACCTACAGCAACATGGAGCTAGCAAGACCCTGGACAGCAGCCAGTGAATTGCAAATCCGCCTGTCACAGTGCTATGAGGGTGCTGATTTCATGAAGGAAGTAAAGGCGCGGCTGGTCTGGTTTGGCCCAAACCCTTCAGATGAGGTGGTCCATCAAGTGATGCGCATGTTGAGTACTGAGAACCAAGACGCACGGAACTACGAGTACCAACTGTGGAGTTTGGGGGTATTGACACCCCGTCTCCAGCGACAGAGTGAGTTACAGGGAGAGGAGAGCAGCGACCTCCCTTCCCAGCGGCAGTGCACCGTACAGAGGGAAGAGACAACCGGTCTCTCTCCCCAGCGGCGTCCTGAGTTCCAGGAGGAGGTGATGGTAGATCCCTCCCCCGTACAGCAACCAGCGTCCTGGGGAGGGGAGGCAACCGGCCTCCCTCTCCAACAGCAGCCGGAGGTGGGCGACCTCATAGACTTGTCCTGGGGACACAGAGAGATGGCAAGCGGAGATGGGACCGAAGTCTCTCTGCCAGCCCTACAGGGATGCTGGGCAGTCAGCCCAGGTCCCCAGCGGCAGTATAATATACAGGGAGAGGAGACAACTGGTCTCTCTCCCCAGCGGCGGCCTGAGTTCCAGGAGGAGGTGATGGTCGATCCCTCTACCTTACAGCAACCAGCGTCCTGGGGTGTGGGGGCAACCAGCCTCCCCCTCCAACAGCAGCCAGAGATACCGGGAGAGGGGGAAGACAAACCTAACCACACAGGCGCAGATGGGACCGCGGTCTCTGTACCAGTCCTACAGGGAGGCTGGACGGGTGGTCCAGATCCCCAACCAACCCCGCAGGGATGCCAGGAGGAGGAGGTAAGCGAAACTTCCCCTCCCCAGCTACATCCCAACTGGGTCCTGGGGGCAGTGGATGAGCCTGCGATACCCACTGACCCCCTCCCAGCAGAAGAGCTGGCATCTGGGCAGAGCTCTGTTAGCCTCTGCCCCCCCTTTTCCCCTGTATCAGAGCCTGACTTACCACGGGTTACCCCAGTGGAAGAGCTGGCAGTAGGGCAGAGCGCCGCTGGCCTCTGCCCCCCAAGCAACACCAGCAGTTTGCCTAGCTGCACCAGGGAGACCGAGAGTGCTGCGCCGTCCCACTACAAACTTGAACCTACAGGCCAGTACCATTTATTGTGGGGGGGTTACTCTGCATATTTTTCTTTGTGGGTGGGCTGCCCGACTAATCTAGATACTGACCGGCAGAAGGTCAGGTACCTGTTTAGTCTTCCCTCCAAAGGGAAGATGTGTGACGAAGTGCCCTTCGCCACTTGTGCCTGGAGAGGACTGCTTGCCCGCCTCTTGCCCTGTGACTATGGCCCCTGGGATGTATTGCCCTTTAAAGACATGATTTGGGCAAAATGGATTTGTGTTGTGCTGCTGCTGGCCCTTTAAGAACCATCTGGGGACATACTGTGGAGTTACTGGGTGGCCACCATTTCCTGTATCAGAAGCATATGGTGAGAACAATGGATGGCGGCCATTTTAACTCACAGACACTGTTTGGACTTTTCAACACGGTGCCATCTCGCCAGTATTTGGTGCACAGAGACATCGTGCAGTGGTTTTGGACTATACAGCAGGGGACACATTATACAGTAATTGTTTTTCATTTAGCCTGTATATGTTCTGCAGAATCTGCATTAAACTGTATTTTCCAAAGTACTGAACGGATCTGGGTGAATTTTGGATATGTGGTTCACCCAGATCCCCCGGTTCCAAGGATATACTTTTTATGGGGTTATTGCATGTTTTGGGGTCCCTGTGATGTATATTTTAGAAGTTATGAATGCTGTAAAAATTGTAATGTTTCTGGCCAGCAGATAATTGAGCTTTGTGTATTGTAGAAACTCAATTATCTAGCCTGGCCCAGAGGAGGAGTTTTGTGTTGCATAAATTGTGAGTTCTGTGTGCCAGTAAATCAGTCTTGTTCCAGCATTAAGCCTTGGCTCATGTTTGGGGGATTGGAGAAATACACTCTGGGGATTGCTATAATCACTATACTCCCCAGGGTATGATCACTAAGTTCTGCTAAGAGCTTGTTCCTGCTCTCTGGGGAAAGAGAGGTTCACCCACTGGAAGCTGGATCCTGGCCTTGGGTCCAGGGTGGGTGGAGACAGCAGAGACCCCAGCGCAGTTGCATCGCTGGAAGTGGGGTCTGCAGTGCTGATGGTGTCGGTTGGAGTGCTTGGAATCCTCGGCAAGCGCTAGGAGCATCGATTGGCGGAGGTACTCAGTCGGAGTGCCAGCGTTCCGTCACAAAGACCTTTTAGTAATCATTCTTTTTATAATAGCAATCTAGACTGACCTAGGAAAAATGAATGATTTAAATGTAAAAAAATTTAAGAAACTTAGATTGTGTTCAGTCTAGGTTACAGAGTGAGATCTGTAATCTTTTTACTGGAGCTCCTGTATGCCGACCAAGTACCTCTGCAAAATCCACTTCCTAGCATTTAGTAAGCGAGCATGGAATGACTGGGATCTCTCTGGAATTCTTCTACCTAACCAAACTCTTCTTCCAAGCAGGTATCATCCCCTCTGCCTATTCTTCTATAGCTAAGCTTATAGTGAATGCTCATGTCTTTACAAAGACACTTAAGGCTCTTTTTTTTAACGTGCCCCCAGGCTAAAGGGATCATGGAGCCAGCCAACAGGTCTGAAGACTCTGTTACTGGGATCCCTAAAGATCCACACAGGACACACAGTTACAAAAGGAACTATCATACTCAGCATTATTTTTTTACTCAGGATCGGCCCACTTGTTCCTTACATATAGATTACTGCGACAACTAAAAAAAATATACAAACAATATAATCACATAAGACAACATAGAGAAACTTATAATGACATATTTATAAAGGGGTGGGGAAGACAATAATTAACACAAAATATCTCTCTTGCCTGCAGAATTAGCAATATGCAAATCTGCCTGGATATGCTATTCAGTGTCTGTATGAAACTCCAGGTGAAGGTGACTATAATCTTCTATTTTTCTTACCTGTTCTGGAGACAAAACCCTTTTAAAATATACAAATATAATTAATATTATAATATAAAGCAAAAAAAATGTGCCTGATAACAATGTGCAGTAAGGTCTACATGTGAAATGACCTATATAAATCTTATATCTCCTTTACACTCAGGCGGCTCTCTGTGTTCTGCTCAGTCAGTTCCACACTGTTCCGAGTGCTCTGGCCTGCTTTGGTTTTGTTTGGGAGTTCTCAAATTTGGCTTCGTCGTCTGCCTATTCTTCTGCTATTTCAGAATTATTGATTTATGATTGCTACCTAACAAATATTGCTCTCAAACTGCCTGAAGGTATTTTCTGATAAAGAACACTCCATTCCTCTAAAGTACTTCAACTTATTCACGTGGCTTAGGGGTTAACTGCATATCCCTGCAGGTTTTATTTATGGAAGCAACAATTTCAAGAGAAATCTGGACTTTTATAAATGCCTTTAGTAACACCTTGCAACTGTCAAGTAGACAGCCCGCTTGGTTTCCTGCTTCATTGCTTTGAACTTTGTCGCGGAATGCTTCTCATGAAGAAAAAGTGGTGTCAATGTTTCTCTATGAGAGCGATTGTAAGTGTGTCTTCGGTATGCGAAGCATCTGAATGGGCACAAGGCATCAGTAATACATATCACAGTACGAAGAAGCAAACTGCAGTGAAGAAACTCTCTCACCGCAGGAATAGAGGTGAGTTTGATTTAAAGGACCACTATAGTGTTTTCCTGACACTATAGGGTCATAAGGCCCAGCCTCATGGCATCTCCCTCCCACTTGGCTGAAGGGGTTAAAACCCCTTCAGCCACTTACCTTTCTCCAGCGCCGGGCTCCCTTGGCACTGGAGAACTCTCCTCCTCCTGCCGAAGTCATCGCCGAATGTGCATGCGTGGCAAGAGCCGCGCGCGCATTCAAACAGCCCATAGGAAAATATTACTCAATGCTTTCCTTTGATTTTCACAGTGAGAATCGCAGAAGCGCCTCTAGCGGCTGTCAGTGAGACAGCCACTAGAGGCTGGATTAACCCTATGTTTTCAGCTGCAGGGTTAAAACTGGAGGGACCTGGCACCCAGACCACTTCATTGAGCTGAAGTGGTCTGGGTGCCTATAGTGGTCCTTTAAGTATTTCCATGCTGATATTGTCATTGAAGTGTTCCAATAAACTCAATAAACCAGTAAATTAATATATTCCTATTACTTTATTAAGTTTGTCAGAGTATAATGCAACTGTTACGGGGTCCCAGGCTAATCCTTATGGAAATATTGGCAGACCAAAGGTAAAAAGAGTCCTTGAGGTACTTTGACCAAATGCTGAAATGTGTAAAAAAAACATATACTGGATTATTCACTGAAGTGAGAATTTAAAATTTACGGGCAAAATAGCCAAACTGGAAAATTCCAATATGGCTGCTTTTGCTTTAAATTCAAAATTCTCACTTTAGTGAATAACGTTAATACTGAGAACTATATATTTTCATTGTTGAGAAACACTGCTCCGCATTATAAATCACACACTGTAGGAACCAACAATAATTGCTATACTGTGTTTTCAATTGAAAAACAAAATGGCGTTTCACGTTTTCAGCTAAGGGTCCTGTGTTTTACAGGGGGAAAATGGTATAACTTTTTTTATTTATTTATTTTTTATAACACATTGAGGGTGTTACCTGAAAGCAGCGGCAATATTTCATCCTGACAAATATGTTCTCAGGGCATCAGTTGATAGTGCAAAGGCCAGGCCCGAGGTGCATTGGAGGGTGCAGACAGGTGTGGTTTAAAGTGATCACTTAGAAAACAGACTCTATGACAAGAGCGTGGGAGGCACCGGTAGCCTGTTTGGGCTAGAAGCGACATGTTAGAGATACTGACAGACTAAATAGCAGAAAAGGCCAAACTACTCACATTGACCTCCATCAATTCTAGCTTTACTAAGGATGAAACTTTATAAAAACTTAAACAATAATAGTGAATATCAATATTTGTAACAACATATAAAACAAATCTCTTTATTCCTGAAATCCCTAAGTAGCAAGCTGCTGAAGAATGGTATAAAACGTCTGCAGCATTGTGATGTTATAACCTCAAAATATTCTAATTTATTACTCATTTTCCAGTGCCAGAATCTAAAAGCAGCATATTTGGAGTTTTGTGTTTTTCCTCACTTCTATTTATAACGTGAACAGTGCTTTGATTATCTTTCCTGAATTTTGCCAGAATCTAAAATAGAATGTCTATATATATATAAAAAAAGAATGAAGGGGGAGTTGTGAAACAAAATATTTTGTGTGAATGGAAAAGAGTTCTTAAAATAAATTGATTCACAACATGCGGTAGTCACTCTGTGTGTTCCCATATTAAAGAAGCATCCCCCAAAATGTCAGGTGGATGGTGCATGTGCAGGTCTAGTTTGAATTACAAACATGGTAAGCCTATAACTTGTGTTATTAACTCTGTAACTGCCAGGCCTATTGACCATTGGAGTGATACTAAAAAAAAAAAATCTCCAGATATTTAAATGTGCATAGGGATTTGGGATAGTGCGCATGTAACTTTATTGTATGTATTGGGACTCAAGTGTACTATAGTCATTGCTGTTGCCCAGGAGTAGTGGGAGTTTGAGCACAGGGCTCAGTTGTGTATGTTTGTATTTGGTTTTGTATCACACAGTTACGTTACAATGCTGTTACCCATCCCATGTGTCCCCTATTAAGGGTTAATAAGTATATAGGGAGTTTAGAAAAATAACCCTCTGTGTCTCATTAGAGATTGTGCCTTGAGCTGAAGACAGCAAGGTGAATTGTTAGTCTAGGACTCACCTAAGAGGTTTTGACTTGATGTAGGTGAGCTTACACTTAAATGGCCACTTTTGAGATACTAATAAACCTCCAGTGATTTAAATGTGCATAGAGACTTGGGATAATGCGCAAGTAACTTTTTTCTATGTTTTTTATTGTATGTATTAGGGTTGATGTGTATGATAGTCATTGCTGCTGCCCAGGAGTCGTGGGAGTCTGAACACAGTGCTTAATTTTATATGTTTATACTGTCAGGGCATTAATTAATTATGAGGTCTGCAGTAGTTGATCAGTTTGGACACCGTGTTTCACTAGGGAAATCATTTTATTTATTTTTAAAATAATGTTATAGCAGCTCTATGTTGCACTGTGTAAGCATTATATTATATATTATTATAAATAAAGGGTGCACTCAATCTCACATCCTTCATTTCCAGTACAGCACCTCACCAGATTGCATCATTCACCCTTCTCCCATAGAGCACCCTCTCATTGCTTGTGCCCCTAATTTACCCTAAACCTAATTCTTCTAAACCCTGTAATGCTATCCTCTACACCTACACCCCAAAAACATAAATTCTCCGAAGTCTGCTAGCCATAGTTCTCCATCTCGGGGACATTGCTAGGTTAAAGAAACACCTGGGGCTTAATGATAAAGCAAAAGTCTATGACCCCTATACTAACAGAGATGTGGGGATGTGTCACGACATATCCCTGCTTTTTATGTTATGTTCCATCCTCTCTATCCATGGACAGTGTGCTGCTAATGTGCCATGACCTCAATGAAAACATAGCCTGGTAGAAACCCTAGCAGCACAACCAAGCACGAACTGCGATCCCTCCATAATTCTGCCACGTGCCCTAAAATTCTGTTCCCCTGCACTCCTACCCTGCAGTCATATAAAGGGGCACCATCATTCTGTCCCTCTAAGTGACCTTGCAGGACACTATACTACTGATCTTTCTTTTATGTTTGTTTTAAATATGGAACACTTCAGGAATTTGCCATCCATCCTTTTGCAGGGTCCTTCATACCCTTCTCTGTATTGTTCCAAGTTGAGTATAAGTGCTGCTGAAGCGTGTACTGATCTTTCTCTTGAAAAGCAGCTGCCTTGTGTGAAATGAAAAGAAATAAAAAAAATACAAATATTCTCCTGCTCCCTCCATTACCAGTAGAGATCTACAGCCCACAAACCACCCCCAGCAACTCTTAATGCTCCGTCTCATAACAATTAAAATGCTCTTTTTTCGCAGTTGTCTCTGTGTTAGTTCTTGAGAAGAGTATTGCTATAAGCTTTTGTTTGTGCTGCAGATTTTAGCTACTAGGTAAGTAAGAATGCTGCTTTTGGCCATGCACAAATTCTATTCATGAATGCCTGGCAATGCTGGACTCCAAAAAGGAATTCATATCTGATAAGCAGATAAAATTGGAACAGCTGCCAAGTGAATATTATGCAAATACATGGACTGTAGCCAGCACACAGTCAAAAGAAGAAACTGGCAGTAACATAGAGCCAAGTGTGATGGCTTCATAATCCCCCTAGTGGTCAAAGAAAGCATTGCTGCCAGTCATACAATGTGATTCACAGTGAAACTAGTACAGATAACCTTGTACTGTACGGTACAGACATTTTTCAACCTGTAAAGAAGACTGATAACAACCTTCAGTAGCTCAGAGCAAAAATATTATTTATCAATGTTTATTTTAATTTAGTTAAAAAAATTCTATTGCATCAACTGTGTAATTCCACATGTCTATCATTTGTATGCAGAGTACATTTTTCATTGTTTAGAAAATATGTAACATTCAGCGTGAGTTCAGTTATACATGTCATGGGACAAATCAATTCACTTTCACAATGTTGCGGTCAAAATGGTAAGTATAAAAAGTAAATTAAGTTATAACAGCAACTTTCATTTAAGGTGATTCTCCAGTGCCAGGAAAACATATTAGTTTTGCTCGCACTGCAGGACCCTGTAGTGCCCCTCTTCCTCCCACCCCCCATCCCAAGTTGCTGAAGGGGTTAAAACCCCTTCAGTGACTTACCGGAGTACTCTTCAGTGACTTAGCGTAGTACTCTGGTACTTTCCGCCTATTCTCCTCCCCCACCGACGTCAGCCGGCGGGGGAGACCTAATGTGTGGCAATGGCCGCGCATGCGCATTGGACGCATTGGACGCATTGGACCTCCCCATAGGAAAGCATTATTTAATGCTTTCCTATGGGGATTTAGGTGACGCTGGAGGTCCTTGCTTAAAACATTTTCGTGTTCTAAGAACATGGAAGTCCCTCTAGTGACTGTCTGATAGACAACCACTAGAGGAAGAGTTAACCCTGCAAGGTAATTATTGCAGTTTATAAAAACTGCAATAATTACACTTGCAGGGTTAAGGGTAGTGGGAGTTGGCACCCAGACCACTTCAATGGGCAGAAGTGGTCTGGATGCCTGGAGTGTCCCTTTGAACTGTGTTTCTATTAAGGCATCACTGACCTGTTAAAGAAATGTCACAAATGTCAGGGAAACAGAGGAAAAACCCTAATCCTAACAAAATATGATTAACATACTCGCACAGTTGGTGAAGAGGACTTCTGTGTTGGGGCAACATCACTGTCCCATTATGCTTTAGGCTTACATGTCTGAGCATCTAATAGAGAAATGATGTATGGGTGCAAGCGAGCTTGGCATTTCCTCGAGAATTTCTGTAGGCAGACGTGCGCCATCTGTACAGCACTGGAAGTGTTAGCTAATTTGCATACTTTGCAGGGAAATGACAATTCCTCTCTAAAGTGTTTCTCATGCAATATGTTATGGTGTTTCGTTAATGAATCGGTGACCTAGTTTTCAGCAATGTTTACAGTTCGAGAAAAGCACATAAAACACATTGCTAAGTGTATGAATATCTGTCTATCCATCCATCTATCACTACCCATCCATCCATCCATCCGTCTATCTAATATCTATCTATACAGGAACAGAATTAGTACACATCATATTTCCTTTAAACAGAGTAAAATTCATCAACGCTCTTCAGTAAAAAAAAAAGAAATTTGAAAATAGTGATAGTGGTGTAGCTCTACTTTATTTTTACAAAAGGAGGGTAAATATTCATCTTTTTCATGTACAATTTACCAGTTTGCAGCAATGTATAAAATAATGCTAATAAACTGGATGTATTTAAATTGTGACATTACACAGAATATAGAAGTACCCTGAATTCCTAGAAGTGTTTTACAGATGACAAGCCAATCTGTTTCCGCAGTTAGAGAACATTTGCAGTATGTATTATACACCCACTACATATCCACTTCCCATGTATCAGGATTTATACTCGCATGAATTGTTTTAGACTGCTCCAGTTAAATGCCACAGGCATCTCGATATTTCAGAAAATCATTCCCTATATTGACATTTTGTGAATTTTATGATTGCAGTATGTTTGCTCACAATACTAAATACAGTTTTACTCACACTGATTGAATGATAACGAAAGCCAACAAGCAAGCAGAAGCAGATGTTATCAGTTTCCCAGACTAAAACCTATTCAATCAATTGATGAAGTGCACGTAATTTACAAATGTAGGTTTTCTCACAGTGGAAGCCCCAGGGAAGGCTTTGAGCTGTAAATCTTGGGCTACTGAGAAATGTATCCTAAAAATATTTAAAGCTGGGTGTTGTAACTAATTCAATGAATCTCTCCCCCAGGTATTATATTAGGTAAAATAAGGGTTTATCATCCCCCCATTTTCTGTGGAGTGTACACAAGGGCCAGTCTGTACTGGTTTCCACCACGCCATACTTTATATCAATGTTATCTTACTAAAGTGACAATTTACAGTGAATTTCAAATTTAAGCTTTGGCTATTTTGACCATAAATTTCAAAGTCTCAATTTAGTAAATAACCCTGTATATGTTTGGGTTTCTGCAGTTTTGATTTATGTGGCATTCCAAATGCAGAATTTTCCCATAGTTTTGCAGTGTGTCATTGAATACAAATATATATTTATATATTTATTTATTTTATTGTTTTTGAGTTTTTTAAGCTACCAGGGAGCAGGAATTGATTACAACAAGCACAGAGTGTTCTGTGACAAAATATTATTTCATAACACTTATTAAAAAGCAAACCTATCCACACTGCTCCTGTTTATTATGAAATAAAAGAACCTACAGGCTTTGCACATTCTGAAAGGAATGGAAGGAGACAGGGGGCGGGGACAAGCTGCCTAAAGAGGGAGAGCGGCAGCTCTGATTGGCCGAGAAATGCAAAGGGTGGAACCTTGGAGTTTTAGGATTGAAACAAAACATCGCGTGCAACCAGGCAGCTCTCACAGTGTCCGGGACTGGAGAACAGAACTGTAAACATTGTATCAGCCTTCCCTGCAGTGGGCACAGAGCAGCACTGTATTCATTGTATCAGCCTTCCCTGCAGTGGGCACAGAGCAGCACTGTATTCATTGTATCAGCCTTCCCTGCAGTGGGCACAGAGCAGCACTGTATTCATTGTATCAGCCTTCCCTGCAGTGGGCACAGAGCAGCACTGTATTCATTGTATCAGCCTTCCCTGCAGTGGGCACAGAGCAGCACTGTATTCATTGTATCAGCCTTTCCTGCAGTGGGCACAGAGCAGCACTGTATTCATTGTATCAGCCTTCCCTAAGAGGATACTCCTGCCCCAGCTTGGATCTGAGCACTCATATTACCTGGGAAAGATGCGTCTGATCCAGAACATGTGCACTATTACCGAGTACCCACCGGGCACAGCCACAGACACTGCCAGCCATGGCAGCCCTAACAGCAGGGTCATTAAGATCTCTGTCATTGGGGGCAGCGGAGTGGGCAAGACAGGTGAGTCTACATTCCTCACTGTATAACCTTAACTGACCTGCATGCGTTGTATATGTAGAATAGAAATATATTAAGTTACCTGAAACATAGAACAACGTATATAGTTTATATTTTTTCTGTTTTTCAGTTAACTCAATATATTGATATTATTTGTACTTTTGGCTTTAATATTGTCAGCCTGATTGAGTCTCATATTGTTAGTGTGCAATTGGGAAATAGCCATAAGCATTAATGCTGAAAGTAGTTTGTTATTAACATTTAAAGGATGGCTGGGTTTATCTATGGAAAGTGTGGCAAAAAAAAAGAATCACAATTATACTCACATTAGTAAATCAAATGGCTATTGAGAATGTGTAATCACCCCAACTGTCATCTGATGGGTTATTGGATACAGGGATGGACTGTCATGGCTCCCTGTTTTTTTTTTATAGAATCCCTGTGTGAGTGGCAGAATCTGCAGAGATTCTGGTGAATGGCAACATTTGCTGTACACAATTGTGGAATACTGGAATAGCATAGCACAGTCTAGGAAATGGTAGTGCAGTGTTATGGAATGTGTGGGTGCTTTAGGACATACAGTGTGTGTGGTACTATTAAACAATATACATATATAAAAGGCAGGCATTGTATCTATAGAACCTTGCAGCTAACTGTTCTGTCCTTTTATTTATTTCAGCTCTTGTGGTCAGATTTCTCACCAAGAGGTTTATTGGCGACTATGAGAGGAATGCAGGTAAGCACAATTGTTTTTGATCTTCCCATTATGTTTGCTTCATAAAGATACAGCGAAGCCGCCTATAAAGCTTCTTAGACTTTATTGATTGTAATTAAAAAACATAGAATAGTGTGCGTTACTAGTGCAAATAAGCTGAAACTTGACTAATGAATTGGTTGATTGTTTCCCTAGGAAACCTGTACAGCAGACAAGTCCAAATAGATGGAATGAATCTGGCCATTCAAGTTCAAGATACTCCAGGTGTACAGGTAAATTCACTTTCTCTGTCAAGCTTGTCTGAATTTTGGTTAATCTCTGAAATGGCCAGGGGGCAACATAATACTTGAAGTAATTAGCTTTATTAGTAGTGCAGGGTCAACAGCTTAGGTTCGGCATGACTTTTATTTTGGTGGCCATCACCTAATGGAATTTCTAGAAAACTGCCTTTTTATGGTGGGTTCTGTCTGAGCTCTGCTTTAATACAAACTTGAGAAAATGGTGGGTTTTGTGCAGAAAGTTTTCTGTTTTTTTGTTGAAATAGAGGTGATTCTGTGAACTATTGAACTTTATATAAACATTTGAAATGGCCGAACTGAGGCAGATGTGGCCTCATTACAGTTTACATTCCGTCTAATATTCACGTGAAGTACAGAGAGACTTGTCTGGTTCTTGCCGTTAGGGCTGGGCATGTGTCCAGATCTAAATGCTTCCAGCTTATATCTTATACTTTCCAGACTCGCTGTCTAGCCAGCTCATTTCCCTTTTTGTCCCACTACAAAGTCTTTCCCCTCTCCTAGTTGTAATTTCCACGCAAGTATAGTATTCTCAAGTATATCTTATTCCAGATTTTGCAGCTGGATCAACATCCTTTAGGTTAGGGAGGTGAAAGACCAGACAGATTTATACAGTATCTTCGTAGCACTCACGCTAAGTACTCTGTGGAATTTTCTGCTAATGTCTTCTTTGTAGGAACAGTGTTCCCTGAAGATTTAATTTTATTTGTTTAACATATTTTTTTCTTTTTCTTTCCTTTTCAGATGAATGAGTCGAATCTGGAGTGCAATGAACAGCTCAACAGATCAATCCGATGGGCAGATGCTGTAGTTATTGTATTTTCCATCACCGACTGTAAAAGCTACGAACTTATAAGTCACCTTCACCAGCACGTGAGGCAGCTTCACCCAGACAACAGAATTCCTATTGTTGTTGTTGCCAACAAAGCAGACCTTCTTCACCTGAAACAGGTGGAGCCACAAAGTGGACTTCAGTTGGCCAATATGTTGGGGTGCACGTTCTATGAAGTGAGTGTTAGTGAGAACTATATTGATGTGTACAATGCATTCCAGGTACTCTGTAAAGAAATTAGCAAACATCAGACCACGGGGACACCCGAAAAAAGGAAAAATTCTCTCATCCCAAGACCAAAGTCTCCAAACATGCAGGACTTAAAAAGACGCTTTAAGCAGGTACTATCTGCCAAAGTACGGACAGCCACCTCAGTCTGAAGAATAAGCTCAACCTCTGTTGCTGTTCTTCCAAGGTCTAAGTTCTCATGAAGATGTGAACATGGAATGTTTATGGCATTACTGACTCCATGGAGGCACAACAATGAGACACAAAGGTGACGAGTTTGTGCACTAAAGGGGAGCAAATCTAGTTAAGTCGATGCCAGTGTACATCGAAAGGACTAATATTTTCAGGACAATTTTGATTGCAAGGGCTTAACCAATTGAGATACGTTTTGGACAAGAGGACTATGAGCACAATGTTTTGTGGTTCCGAAATGTGGCTGACAGTAGATAGAACTGTGTGAGGAATGGGGAAAAAGTTGGCAAGTTTTACAGTAGCACAGAATTCTTGTGCACGCTTGGTGTCATATGCCACGGTGTAATTCATATACTGTCATTTTACATCGGTAGCGTCTGTCACAGACCAAGTTATTTTTTTATTTTTTTTTAATTCCTCTTCAGTTGATGGTATAAATTGTGTATCAAATATTATGTTAACATGGAAACGTTCGATTAGATAGAAGTTGTTTTGACTAATGAAATCCCTACAATCAGTGTGGGTAAGTTAATGAAGAGTCAGCAACTGAGAGTTTAGCTCATGTCTGTCTGCATGGCATTATTTTAACAAAGGGCTCCAGAGATATGAACAAGGGTGAGTGTGCTTTGTGCGTGCACACCACCTTGTGGTGAATCTGGGTATAGCCTCAGGTAATAGGGAGGTATTTCCATTTCAGCTATGCCTTAAGATTAATGAGCTAAGAAAATGGAAAAACACAAAACCCTGGTTTCCTGGTTCAATGCTGCAGTCTCGTCCTACCAGGTGGAGACTCCAGCTAATGTCCTGTGTGAATTGCACTTTAAAAGCCACTTGTGCTTTTTTGCTTTGTCAATTGTAATTTATTTATTTTGTGTACAATAAAACCTCTATGGGGAAACTTTTTTTTAAAGAAATCAACAACCTTGTTTGCTTTTATTCTTATATATGTTTTCTGTTAAATGAAAATCTGGTCACAAAGATGAATCGATTCACTGCAACACATTAAAAACAAACAAACACCGCAACAACTGATAGAGGAAATAAAATCATTAATGAAATTCTTCTAGAATAGATCAACAATAGCTATCACAATTCCATGATAATGGAAATATAATAAAGACTGAAATCACTGGTTATGATCTTATCTCCCAATGTCCTCAGTCAGTGATACAGCTGAGAAATTAAATGACAGGAGGTAAAAGAAGTTTGGATGGATGTTTGACCCCAACCTATACACCAACAAGTATGAAAGTCTCCACCAGGCTTTCAACCGATTGGAGTTGAGCCATGTTATTGATAAATCTGGACCACAGAAAAGATACTAATTTTAAAGCAGATTTGACACCCCCAAAATGTGTGTATTAAGAAATCCACTTAGTCGTGTACAAACTTTAAATACTATTGTGCTATCAATGGAACCAGGATACATAGACATTGTTTAAATGTTTTCTCGATGACAGAAATCAAAGTGTCCAGCATTAAAGTGCTCACGGGGGGAGTGCATAGAATTGGCTGACATAGGCACCATTTAGGGATAGACAGATGCACACATGCATCACGGTGCTTTTGTGGGGGGAGGGTGGGGTTGTATTAGGATGTGTGTTGACCCTGTTACCTTCTTGGAGTGCTTTTAGTTTAATTTTTTTCCCAAAACGTTTTAATGTATTTTGAGTGGAATTCATACATTGATCAAAGTCGATGTTGGAGTTACATAACCAAATAACTTAAACAGATATTGACATGTTAAAAAAAAACACATTTCAAAACAAACCATCATTAAGACTAATAAAAAAAATAATTAAAGTAGTGATATATTAAATAAAAATGATTCCATATGACAGAGTACCCCTATGCCACAAAACAAAAAATAAAACATTGACCAAGTAAAGTGGGGTTCTAAGGCAACAGCAGCGAGGTAACTGAAAATGAAGAAAATATAATCTAAAAGTATACTAGGCAGAAGTCATTTTTTCTGTATTAAGTTATACCATGCCATTTTCATAACAAGCACCCTTCTAGCTTAGTGATGTAACTGCTTGATTAACACCATCATTGATCAGCATTTTCTAGTTGAAATACATGCAGTATTTATAAACTATACCTCATATCACTGAACTAATTACAGCAAGCATGTCAAACTTGCCGCACACATTGTATGATTCTGGTCTTCCCTCCCACGGCCGATCGTGTGCTCCCGCAGGCCAGCAACTCCCCCTTCCCTCCTGCTCGCAGTGCCAGCGGAGCATCTGGCCTCCTTGAGCAGAGAAGAACCGAAACTGGAGGACAGGTGGCTCATCTTAAAGTAGGGGAAGAGGGGCATAGGGGACCTTCCTGTGTAGTTTGTTAAATTGGGGAGGGGGACAGTGTATTAATTTGGGGAGGGAATGGGCAGTATATAATTTTATGGAGGGGGCACTATATTACGTTGGGGGAAGGAGGGGGCCAGTGTATTAAATTGGGGGAGGGAAGGCAGTGTTTTAAATTAGAGTGCTGTGAGGAAGAACAGTGTATTCAATCAGAGTGAAGGGAGGAGGGGCAGTGTATTAGATGAAGGGTTAGTGTATTAGAGTGTAGGGAGGGGTGGCAGTGTATTGGATTTGTGGGCAGTGTATTAGAATGGGGGGAGGGGCAGTGTATTAGATTGGGTCTGCATGGAGGCGCTAAACGCTCCCCATGGAGATGCTGATTGGCATTAGACCTCCCCATAGGAAAGCATTGAAAACGCTGGAGTTCCTCAAATAGCGTGAGGACGTCCAGCGACGCTATAGCACAGACAATCTGTGCTAGAATCCCGGAAGTGCCCTCTAGTGGATGTCTAGTAGACAGCCACTAGAGGAGGAATTAACCCTGCAAGGTAATTATTGCAGTTTATAGAAACTACAATAATTACAGTTGCAGGGTTAAGGGTAGTGGGAGTTGGCACCCAGACCACTCCAATGGGCAGAAGTGGTCTGGGTGCCTGGAGTGTCCCTTTAACAGTACAGTTTACTTCTTTAATGAATACAACAACAGAGTAAACGATAGAAGTAAATAAAGATGGGGATTAGATTTCCCCCCAGATTATTAAGCTTCCTGCATTTATCACGGTTTATATCCAGTTCCAACTAAAGTATTTCTAGTGTTAGAAGGGAACCCACTGTGGGCATGTGTTATTAAATGAATAGATACAGCATTGCATAACTATACATGTCTAACACTTGAAAACTAAAGAAAAATGACAGGCATTATTCCTGGTAAAACATTTTATTAGAAAACTTCTTGTTATTAAAAAAAGCTTTACAACTGTGTGCCATATTAGCATCATTTTCCCCCTTCCAGACCTACATAGTTACATAGGCTGAAAAGAGACATGCATCCACCGTGTTCAGCCTTTCTAATTATATTCATACAGACTTTGTTTTCTAGTGCAAAATAGAATATAAATAAAACAAATCCTAATTTTGCATCCCTGGTGCACCAGTTGAGAAAATAATTTTGCTACAAGTCCTTCAGTCAGTCCCCCATACAGAGCAAACATAAACGCAGAACTGTACACATCAATTTTTTTTTTGCTGGCATTTTGGGAGTCTGCATTCTCACAAAATATCAACATAGGGGTAAATGACAATCCATCGTTTGTTAATTAGCAACACGTTAATCTACTACCAAAGAGCTCTTGACGAGGTTGACTCAATAACAATCTCACGGTTGCAATTGCAATATTCAAGAATATGCTTACCATTATCGATTTGGTAACAGGCCTACACCTTGCATTAAACAGTCAAGCTTAAAGGACCACTATAGGCACCCAGACCACTTCAGCTTAATGAAGTGGTCTGGGTGCCAGGTCCAGCTAGGGTTAACCCTTTTTTCTATAAACATAGCAGTTTCAGAGAAACTGCTATGTTTATGTTAGGATTAATCCAGCCTCTAGTGGCTGTCTCTTGTCAGCCGCTAGAGGCGCTTGCGTGCTTCTCACTGTGAAAATCACAGTGAGAAGACGCCAGCGTCCATAGGAAAGCATTAATAATGCTTTCCTATGAGACTGGCTGAATGCGCGCGCAGCTCTTGCGCGCATGCGCATTCAGCCGAAGAGGAGGCGGAGAGGAGAGCTCCCTGCCCGGCGCTGGAGAAAGAGGTAAGTTTAGCCCCTTCCTCTCCATCCGCCCCGCGGGAGGGGGGCCCTGAGGGTGGGGGCACACTATAGAGTACGTTTTCCTGGCACTGTAGTGGTCCTTTAAGTAATCACAATTTTTCCAAAACCATCTTTTTGATACATTAGCAGTACTATCAAATTTAACACTGAAAGGACTTGATAAACCATAGGATTATTTTTTCCTAACAATGAACCTTTTCACTAAAAAATTATGAGATGTTTGCCCATGAGCAGAACATCACCCACACCTCCTCTATGTTGATCACATATGGAAGCAACACCACAAAACCTTTATTAACAAGCCCTCATTAATAAACTTAACCAAATGCACGGCATTCATACTTGAAATGTAGGATTTGAAACATCTTGTCATATTAAAGTAAATTTTGAACAAACACTCGTCACCTATTGTCATCAACAATGCCCTATATAAAACAGGTCAGCCAGGATGTTCAGATCAAATTGGATCTGTGCTTGTTTTAACCTTGCGATCTCAGAATATTGATATCAAGATCATGTGTGATGACTGAAGTTAAAGGGACACTATAGGCACCAAAACAACTTTAGCATAATGGAGCTGTATTAGTGTATACATCATGCCCATAAAGTCTCCTAAATTGCATAGAATTGAACACTGAGATAGGAGGGGCATTATCTATATACCAAAACTACTTCATTAAGCTAAGGCGATTAACAGTGCAGGAGATAATAAATTCTAAATTAAACAAACTTTGCAATAAAGGACATTTAAACATTAGATCTCTCTTTATAGGAAGTGTTTAACGTGTGCAAGTCACATGCAGGGAGGTGAGACCAGGGCTGCAT